CCCGGTCTCTCTTTTCGAGACCGAAATCCAATATCCTTTGTGGACAGCAGCTTGAGGCGTCCCGATTCCGAGTGGTATTATTGATAGCCGTTCGAAAATCCCCTACACATCGGGCTCTCCCTCTCCCTGGGTCATCCACGGGGAAGGCGGGGGATGAGATTGAAGAAAAACATGTCTCCTCAACGTACCGTCTCAGCTGATCGATGAGAAAAGTACTTTATCTGATAGGACGAAGCTCACCGACATGCTAGATCCAAACACCTGGACTGAGCATGTATGAGAGGAAAGCGATCAATGGTATTGGCAAAGTGTCTGGCGTCCCTTTCTGCGAGCAGGGCTGAACTCATGGCTTTTTCTTCCAACTCAAAAGTAAGTTTCTCCCAGGACCGTCCACGCCCGCTGTTACTTCGATCAACGTTTCCGTCCCTGTCGTGCCTGGGTCAGTCACCGTGACGATTCCATCGATTACGTCGATCCCAGCAGCGACCGTAAATGTCACGGGAGTTCCGGGCTTGTCGATCAACACGACGGGTACAACGACGAGCATCAGTATCATCAATCCTCTCAAGTGCGAACAATCGACTCTGAAGTGTCCGGAGGGTTTCACGATGGCCTTCTGCACGCCTTGCATGGCCAAGTGCACTAGAACTATCGGGGCTCTGAGCCTGTCCGCCCTCATCGACCACAAGCGCATCGTAATGGCTCCGGACGGAACGAATTGCACTACGAACTTCGTACGTCATCGCAATGATCCTACGATAATTTACCTCGGGCCAGATTTGAATTCATCCCAGGTGAGTTTTCTGACCGAAAAGTCCTCACCGCTACTTGATTTTCAGTTCGCAGTTAGTCGCCAGGGCGTTTGCCGTCGAGGGAACTGCGTGTCGAACTTGTTCAGGAGGAATATGCTCAAACTGTGTCCCTTCGGCTTCTTCACTTGCTGAGCACTAGTTTCGCACCCTCCACGAAGTCATCCTCTCAACGCAGATGTTTATTTATCTTTCGGGTTGGCAAATAAAACTCGAACCCGCCCGGACTCGAATTGAAAGCTCGGATTTTCGCAAATCAATTCGAGAGAGACTCTCCATGAGCTTCCGTGTGCGTATGCTCCTCGCCGCCAACAGATAATCAATACAGATCTCTGCTCCTCTTTTCGTCTTCTTGGAAAAGAGCCAAAACCTTGCCGCTCAATCGAGCGCAGGATAATCATCTCAGTGAGAGACCTAGAAGTCCCGGGAGGCTCCATTGAAAAGGCTCGGATCCCGGAATTCAAGTGCACTCTAAGATCACCTGGTTTCCGAGAGTCTCTCGAGTAGAGATCTTCCTCGACTCGGCAGGGCACCCGCTGGAATGTCAGAGCCAATCTGATTTGAACTGCAACAGCTGAAATGTCGAGGCTTGATGTGTCTCTACCGGCACGACGCTAGACTGCCGCCTCCGGAAGAGCGCTTGGCACAATATGCAGGCATACAGGGCGGCAGGCTCCGGTGCGTATCGATCGATATCTCCAGCCAGCGTTGCGCCGACTCCGAAGATCCCTCCCTTCATCCATCTATTCAGCTGTTTTCGGCTTGATCAGCTCCGACAGATATACGATGCAACCTGGAGCGGAAGTGCTCCCAAAAGGTCAGGCAACACGAATGCCCTTTGATGCGTTGGGATGGTCTCACTGCTCAGGCGCGACGGGCAGATTAGAAGGGATGGAGTTCCGCCTCTCTACTCCGAGCGACATCGGAAAATGAAGCAAAGAGAAAATATCGAATCTCTCTCGATGTATAGTTCTGTTTCGAGCTTTTGTGTGATCAGGCTTGCCTAATACTGTCCCCATCGATATCGCATTCTGAATAGGGCTAAAAAGAAACAGAACGCTCAGATCTGGAGATGGGGTTCGCTTGCTATGGCGGCGCTCAGATTTAAACGCGAGCCTGTCGATGAACGGACGAGAGAAATGCTTCAGTGAGCTCTGCTATTCTCATCGGATCACTCAGAGGGGATTTCGATGAGCAGCCATCTACTCTCGATATCGTCCTTCTTCCGTAAGAGGAAGCCTTCCCCTCGGGCACGGTATCGCTCCCGGAGTCGTATTTTGTGCGTGAAAATCGGGAGCAGACTCCGGGAAGCGACTGGCGGGAGAAATTCGACTCATGAGGAAAACACGCCGGGAAAAACAGAATTAGACGAAAAGGCCACACTTCCCGATCTTTCGCGGGAGTTCCCAGAGGAGAGAAATCGCGATCGGAAGATCCACTGGAAAAAGTTAATTCGAGCTGCTAGCGCAGAATTGGATCATGAATCATGATTCTAAGGAGATCCTAGGGCGACGCAGCGGTTGATCGTGAGTGCAATGAAGCCTCCATTATCTGGTTCCGAATATTTTCCGGATTGCTCGATCTTTGCCTCAGGCTTCTTGATCCGGAAGAGAGCGCCAACTCGAGTCCGACGCTTCGCCCACAAATTCATTGAGCTCTCGCAGGGTGCGGTGCGGCGGGCGTGACCTGTCAGGGTCTCCGTCCGGAGCATCACCGCACACATGATGATTTCCTAATTCGAACTTTCCGCCAACTCGATCGCGATACGAAACTCTTATGACTTATGACATGATGACTTTTCTGACAAGGGCAGCGTCCCCTCATCGAGGCCGACCGCCGCTTCTCGCGGTCAAGTTGGGAGGATTCCATTCAAGAAGCAGAAAGACGACACCTCTTGATCGCCTCTCGCTTGAAATCACAAAGTCCCGAGTGATGTCCTCTTTTCTTCCGGAAGAGTCGCTTGGAAAAGCCGTCAGTTCACTCGTTTCGTTCACCGCGAGGGGGGCGTAAGGCTTCGAGTTGTATCTTGCTTCTTCAAAACTTCTCCCCTTCCACGGAAAGAGCAGGAACGAATCGCGTTCTCGATTGACGATTGAACGCATTGACGCCATATGATGGCGAGGACAGGCTGATGATGTCCTACAATTATTGTAGACGCGCAGAGAATGGCGTGGAATGGTCGTCTCAGGAGCGGGAGCCAGAAATATACCGCGTATGAAGCAGCTTCGTTCCACGTCTGACAAGTCCTCCGCATGCTGTCGCGTCGAGTCGAAAAAAAAGATCCATAGGTCTATCGCTTCATAGCATAATCTGCAACTCTTGACATTGCTGAATGACTCGCGAGCTTGCTCAGGAGCATCGCATCGTCTGAACTCCCCAATCGGGCTCGGAGATCCGAGAGGGCGGAAGGGGCTCCGAACCGAAGTTCCTCATGAACGTCCGCCGCAGGTTCCCCAGACGGGGTTGCTCGAGGCTGCCACGAGGGATCAGAGCCTAAAATTCAATACTCCCTGAGCCGCCGATGCTTGTCTTTTTGACGAAGGACTGCAGTCCTACGGGAATTCACTCTTCGGTCACGACCAAAGATACGCCTGCGATCTTTTTTTCTCCGACTCCCGCCGATGCGGAGGGCGTTCTTCTCTTCGCGAGTTTGGAGAATCGTTGATGCCGCGAAGACTCCTCTTGCAAAGGGTCTTTTAGGGTCTCGCGCGAGGACCTCCTCCAGAGCAGACGGAAGGGGACTCGATCTCGGCTGGTTTCGAATGTTGGACGTCAACGGCCCCGATAAGATTGGATCGTCCATGGAACTGTATTCGGAGCTGCGGAGATTCTCGACCATTGGCTGACACGGCAGCTCTTTTCTACATTTGTTCGAGGAGAATCGCAATTTGAACTGGCCACTGAGGAGGCACAGGGCTTCGAGAATGACGCAGCTTTTATCTACTCCGGGAAGGCGCGTTTTTGAAGTCGAAGCCTGGGAAGAAATCGCAAGCGTTTCCAAATGAAAAAGCGTTCCTCTTGCTCCCCAATTTTTACGAGAGTGAGTTGCAGTAAGGTGAGCTCCACTACGATAGTTTTCCGATAGAGGAATGGCATTTCGACGCAACAATAGTTTTTGCCCCTCTCCGTGACGATTTTTTCCCGAACCGAGCCGTACGGCGTAGTTCTACGCCAAAAATGGATCGAGACGTGGGAATGACGTCATTCATGAGTAAAGCGCACTCCATGTTGCCGCGTGATTGAGAGCCACGGAGTAATTTTCCAGAGCTCTGTTCAGTGTCACTGATCAACGTCCGGAAGTGCGCGCGCTCTCTTTTCGCCGCGCGCTCACTTTTCGCCGCGCGTTCTGGCCGCTGTAATCTGTCCCGTGGTCTATGCGCTATGCAGTGCTTTGTTTGGTGTCTGCCTCCTCTCTTACACAATGAATGTTTGCTTTGATTCCGTTCGAAGGTCGTCTGCTGCCCGGTCGTTCGTTCTGCCTCTGCTTTAGTTGCAATCTCCGGCGGAGTAGAGGGTCCGTAATGTGAGGAGAGAAACCCTTTTCCCCCAGGCTGGATTATAGCCTCTGTCGGCATTAGGATTATACCGCCGTGCTTAATAAAACATGAGTTGCCGCGCCATCTTGTGGAAGCGCCAGTTTCACTCAGGTTCTCGAAACGATCGCGTCGTCTCTCGAGTGGTTAGGGTTTGATATAACTTCAACAGTTATCAGCCTCCCTGGCTAGCATAAGCGTCGATGGATGGACTGCTGAACGCGGCGTGATCGAGTTCATTGACAGATCAAGCGCTGCTCGTCAAAACCACTTGTAGAGGTCAGAGTCCGAAGCAGGCACCGTAGGCAGTATTCCGAGAGGATCGATCTCAGAGTCCTCGCAGGCACGTTTCAGAGATGTGTGGAAAAACTCACAGACAGGTGCCGAGGGTGAGCTGCCTCGGCGGTACCATTCTATCTGTTTTCGGTCTCTTTTGAAGATAGTGAGCTCTTCCCCGAAAACAGAGGAACGGCGGTGAGCGCCGAGGATGATAGAGGAAATACCTCATCTGCGTTTGGCTTTGCAGGTAGCGAGGGATCGGGCTCGGATGGTGATCCCAGCTCTCCTCATGAGAATACATGCTCCTGATTTTTCAGATCGGGATCCGATCGGAATCGTGGAGATGGCTAAGAGCGGAGGGGATCGAGAATGCGTCGTCACTCTTCTACATTTCAACGACTGCTATAATATAGAGCCGCAGAAACAAGAACCTGTCGGCGGTGCGGCTCGATTCAAATCGGTATTGAAGTCATTTGAATCCGTGGAGCCCTTGGTTCTCTTCAGCGGGGATATCGTTTCTCCGTCGAGCAGTGAGTTTCAGTCATCTCCGTAGATCCTCTCGACTCGTCGCGGAGTCGGTCATGAATAATAATCACCGCTCGCAAAAGCTCGATCATTCATAGTTCTGTGGATAATAAGCTATATTTCTCAATCAGTTAGCACATTCACCAAGGGTGAACAGATGATCACAGTGCTCAATTCCTTCGGTGTCGCCTGTGCGGTCTACGGCAACCATGACTTCGGTGAGTCGTACCGCATCACATGTTCGAGCCGAGTCGATCCTTGATGAAGGATGTCTCAGAACGCTGTGTTCTTACGGGAGTCTGTTTTCGTAGATTTCGGTATCGAGAATCTGATCAACTTCAAGAACAAGTGTCTTCCCGTGGCTCATGAGCAATGTGTTGGACAAGGGAACTCAGACGCTCTTGGCGGAAGGCCTCGAGTTAGTCATCTTAGAGAACAAAGGGAAGAAGGTATGCGTTGCCCATCTCTCAAGGCTTGAATTGAGACATGGGTGTTTTTCTCCGGAGGATGGAGATGCTCCGGCTGAGAATTATTCTTCCCTTCGTAGATCGGTCTCATCGGTCTCGTCGAGAAGGAGTGGATCGAAACTTTAGCAACGATAGAACCTGAGGACGTAGACTTTCGGGATTTTGTCGATGAAGGCAGACGTCTGGCACGACGCCTCAAAAGTCCCGCTTTCGGATGCGACTATGTGATCGCTCTTACTCACATGCGCTTTCCCAACGACTGTCGCTTAGCTGAAAACGTTGAAGAGATCGATCTGATTCTCGGCGGTCACGATCACGTGTACGATGTCCGGAAAATCTCCAATCGTTACGTTGTCAAATCAGGGACAGACTTCCGTCAGATGTCGAAGATTGAACTCACGTTCAAGGTTGATGGGACGGTGGCTTTCAAAATAGAGGAAATTGATGTAACATCTGTTTACCCAGAGGACACGGATCTCGTTGAGCAGCTCAAGAAGTACAACGATATCATCGAAGGTACTTGAGACCATGCCCATAAGACTCGATTTCCAGTTCCCAATCGAACTCTTTGCTTCTGAAATCCATCGAATTCGCTGATTGCAGGACAGATGGATGCGATCGTTGGGTATTTCTCTACCCAAGTCGACGGGCGGTTCCAATCGAACAGAACAGAAGAAACGAATCTTGGGAGCTTCGTGGCAGATATTCTGCGGGCTTCCACGCACGCAGATCTAGCCATCATAAATTCTGGAACTTTTCGATCGGATAGAGTGCACGAGCCGGGAATCTTCACGATGTGCGACATCGTACGTATTTAGCGTTCTATCACGACCTGGTCAAACCTCGGACGCCTCAGGGCAGAGCTCAGCTTGGCTCTACTCGATGTAATTTGGGAGCATCTTATTCTCAGCATATGTATATGTATATCATAATCCCATGCCTCAATCAGTCATTGGTCTATAGATTTCGATTTTCCCCGCCGACGATCCCATTATGGTTTATGAAGTGACGGGACAGCAAATCAGAGCGGCGTTGGAGAACGGAGTCAGCCAGTACCCGAAGCTTGAGGGTCGGTTCCCGCAGGTAATCTATATGCATTGAAACGTAGGTCTGTCTGTTTGTCTGTTTGTATGTCCGGGGTACCCTATAGACTCGAAAACGGCTGAACCGATCGTCGTGAAAATTTAGGAGCGTGTTCTGGGGGATACAGCGGTGGTTACAAGCGGGTCAGTTCTCCGATGCGATGGGTCCTTCTACCATGAAAAAATTATTTGAGTGCTCCTCCCACGAAATTGTTGTCATGTGATGGGTCCTCCCACCATAAAAAAATTTGTCGAGTGGTCTTCTCACCGAGAATCAAAGATTTCATCAAGGGAAAGGCGGGTATTCGCCGGATTTCTCATCGGCTGGACCGATCACCATGAGGATTTGATAAGAGTTCTCCTAGATACCTTGCCCTGAAACCCACAGCGACCGGGACTTCATCCGCAAACCAAACTTATTCTGAATCTAGGTGTCCGGAGTGGCCTTCGCCTTCGATCCGAAGAAGCCTCCCGGAGAGCGTATCAGAAGTGAGCACATCAAGATCGGCGACGAGCAGCTCGACCTCACATCACGCTATCGCCTTGCGTCCAAAGAGTTCATCTGGACTGGACGCGACGGATACGATGTCTTGAAAAACTCTCTGGTCCTCGTGAGTACGGCTTGGGATATCCGTTCTTAGAGCCCGCGGAGCTTCGAAAACGACTTTCTCTTGACCAATCAATCGGACGTTTATCATAGGTGGACCCCGATGAGTTGCCTCCCTTGCGCACAGCCGTGCAATGTTATCTATCAGCGATGCAGAGCTTCCTTGGAGCTGAAAAGACTCCACGAGGCCATCATCGACCGAGCCTGGTCGCGTCGTGCAGGTCGGTGGCAATAAAGCGAATGGGGCTCTTTTATCGTTAATCCGCGGTATTGTATCCGGGGGGAGCCGTTGTATCATGGATCACTTATAGAGGTGAATCCGATCCCTGATAGTGACCGGAATTTTCCACGCACAGTTTCGATAGTGGACCAGCGGAGCCATCTTCAGGTCCAGAATCAGAAAGCGAGGTCGTCAAGTTCCATCCGGTCATCGATGGCAGGATCATAGCGCTCACGAAAGAGGTGAGAATTATCACTCCGCTGGAATCCGGGTGTTGCTCGATCATTCTGAAAGGCTCGGGTGAAAGACAATTCCGTTGATTTTCGTTTTCAGTGGTACGCGGAGAAATCTGGCTTGTTGAACCAGTCCCCGAGTTGTCCGAGCGTGGAACCTGAGGATTTCTTGTAGCAACGTCTCGAGCCACCCACCCACCTATGCAAAAGTCCGAACTGAATATCCGTAGAGTGATATACGTCTTACTTTCGAAGATGTTCGGCGTGATTGGAGCGTACCCGAGACTTTGCGAGTTTGCTCACGTTCACGTTCACTTCGTGAGTTCAGACTGCGCCAGGAGGGTCTGGGGCGCATCGATTTCGATTGCGCTGAGACCTTGCGTTGGGATGATTCCTCGAATCCCGGGAATCGCCTGGTGCATACCTGCGGTTCGTCGGCTCTTCCGGAAGGTTGAAACTCTACGAGGGCACAACTAGAATTTTTGAAGGGCCATCCACCCTGGCTTTACGACTCGTCGGCGTGCACTTTTGTACCAGTGCCCTCAGAGAACGAAAAATCTTGGGAATGGAAATATTCCTAATGTTGGCTCAACGCCGATCGCCCGAGAGCTCGCAGCATAGATTTACTCCTCTCGTCGATTGCGACGCGTGGGTTTTTCATGTTTCTTTGTTGCACCTAATTTATTCCAGGGAATGGAGAGTTCACTGGTCTTCCAGTCGGATATATTTATAGCTGCAGTCTGTTGTATTAACGTGCTGTAATCATTTCTCCACAGAACTACTGCGAAATAAAATAGAGCAAGAAATCGCATCGAGGTCAATCCGAGATTCGGAGTTTTTTGCTCTTCTCTCCTAGTAGCCTTGTCCCAATAGTGGTGATCAGTCCCGGGAATATGGAGCGTCTAGGTTGGTCTTAGGGGAAAGTCCCAGCAAAAATCTCACCACGAATCGGTGGAGACAATACCTAAAATACCGTCGCTGACCTGGGCCCGCTCTGCATAGATCCCCCCGCACGGCCTGGCCGAGCGCTCTTATGATTTCGGAAGACTCCTCTTTGAGACTTCTCTTCTCCATGATGAGTTGGTATATGTTCTCGAATTTTTGAGGTTTTGAGTGAGCGTCTGGAATCATTTTCTCCTCACGCAATCGGGGCGTGGTGGCTCCCGCTGCATCTGATCCGAAAGGCTTCCTAGCGATAAGCTGCCCGCTCTTCCTCGACTAGACTGTCAATTCGAATTTCTGCTCGCGAAGCTCGACTGATATGCTGACTACCCCGCTTTCTCTCCTGACACATCATGGGAGACATCGGGGATATACAGGGGATTCCGGTCATGCTTTATTGATGAAATCAAGAAACGAATTCAGCTTGATGTGCATCTTGGATTTATTGTACCCATCATTAGACAACTCTCGTCCATGAAATTTTTATCTCCCTCCTGGTCAGATTTCCTTCCCAGTTCTCCCTATATCCGAACGGGTTGTCGGATTCATCCAGTCATTACTGCTGGCTTTGCTCCCCTCGGGTTCTCCGTGTATATATTATTTTAGATCAAAGTACAAAAAATCTCGACTATGTACAACTACTCCTATTGACCGCTCACGCGAACCTAGATCTAGGGCAAATTTATCAGATTGGTAGCTCCAATGACATCATTGTTCAACTGAGGAGATTCGTCGTAGAAGTTATTTCATTCATCACTTTCAAGCATCCTCCTCCATGGTGATTCATTGCCCTCAACACTCGCTCTTCTCATTCTGAACGACGCGATGTGGTGGCTGGCGATTGCACGCAGATCCTCTTAGGAGCTGATGAAAGTCATGTTCGAAGTGAGATATTCAGGTATATATATATGCGTATGTTCAATGTTCCCCCAGCGCCTCACAATCCGTACATCACTCATCCCTTTTAGCAGAATTAGTAAGTACCTCTCCGGGTCTCGGAGCCGGCCTCACGCTTCGCTCCCGATAATCATTCTCAGGACCAATGTCGTGAATTCGAAAAGGTGATTTCTGAATCGGAATCGCCGAACTCGACGTTTACCCCTGTTTTTGTACAATACATCCCGAATCATATTCGTCGACTCTATTGGATTTCAGGTTGAAGAATGCTTGGATGGAAGCGAGACCTCCGCATCAGAGCCCGGAGTCTCTCTCATCTGATGCCACTCGAGCGCAGTGCAATCTCTGTCAACGCCTCACGTCTGTCGCGTTTCAATCGCTAGTGATTTGATATGCATTCCTTTTGTCGTTGTGAAGACGGTGTACACATTCGCTATAAGTTCTGCATACAATGAAGGAGTGAAAAATAGACGATCGTCAAAAATAATCTATGGAATTCACCAAAAATACAGGATACGCTGTTTGTGTCGTCGGTCTTCTCGAGGAATCGATATTGAGAAAAAAGTTAGAGTCCCAAGATCAGCCTCATCCTTTTACAGAAATCGAGGTTTTACATTTGGCAGAATTCGAAGAACTTCCTTACTCGCCTCTTTCAGACTTACCCGCCAGACAAAATTTCATTCAATCACTCGTTTGTTCAAACATCTGGATCCAATTGTGACAACCCTTATTGTGTCCCTGCTGACCGCATGCTTTCACGGCAGATAACATTTCTCCGATTTAAGAACTCGTCAAAATTCACTTCTAGCATTTCCGAAACCATCATATTGTAATTGCTTTCCAGGGAAACCGATTGCCTAGATTACTGTGTAATCTTTTATAATGCGTAGGTATAATTGTGTAGATTTGTATGCACCCGTAGATTCCGCGAGAGAGACTCGATTCTGCGCGAATGGCTTTACATGATCGTTGGATGGTCCTCAGGTGAAATATTGTTGAATTGATTTCTCGACGTCGACGGGTCGAAATCTGCCACGGAAAATATTTGTTGTCTCTGTTCGGAACTGGCTGGTACGTGAGGCGATTTCCGCAGCTCTCGAAGAGCACAGTACGGGAGTAGCCTTTCGAGAGCTACAGATAGCGGTCCCGTAGACTACGGGCCCATGTCAAGACCATATTATTCATCCTTAGGGCTTGGTCGAGGCTTGGGAATCATTATCCAAAATAAATTAGAGCGATTATATGCTTGGTTTGTATATGTATAGAGTGTACAGAGCCCATGTATAAACCGCCTTCTGCCGATTGCGGACTTCTAACGTCACAACACCGCTTGGTGCATTGCATATGGTCAAAAAATTGCATATGGTCTCACCATCATGCTGGCGCCGCTTAAGTAAGAAAAATATGATTCGCTTTCCGTAGCATCAGCAGCGAATTAATGTAGGCAAAGGCGTTCGTGTCTGATCGTAAGTTCTCAACCTCCAAAATGCAGATGGCGACGGTGCTCTGGGTGGGGGAACCGGGATTTTCTGCTTACGCGCGGCCTTTTATATCTGCTCCCGGGAACAGCCGGCCGTCATGTCTGGGCAGGAAAGAGGCATCCCCCGAAAGAGATAAGAAAGAGAATGGTGCACCGGGACAATTTTTCGGGGAATCAGAGAAACGAAGAAGCTCTCCCGTCTCTCTCGGAGCGGAGACGATCAGACATGGAGGACAGTGGGGAGCTCCCCGCTCGAATAGTTCGAGTGACACGGCAGAAGGAACAGAAGTGTCCAGAATTCCCACCTCGTAACCTGATCGCTCGATGATTCGGGCGAAGGATCCCCGCGGTCCTCCCTGGACCTTTCCCCCACCCAACCGGCCACTTACACAATTAGGTTAGATTAGTTCGTTTCGTTATTCTATGGCTGCTTAACCCATTGCCGTTTTCGTCATGGATATTGAACTATATCTAGAGTTTAGTTGCTTGGAGCTCTCTGTGGATTATCATTGTAGTAATCAATGGATTGAGTTTCTCAGAATCCGCCCATTGATTTCTCGATTGCACTCAGACTAGCAAGTTAGACACGTGGCCCTAAGTTCTGTGGGCATTCCTCCACCAAGACTCAGAGTGAAATCGTCATCGCGATCGCCATCTCACAACCATCGACACGCAGCCGTGTCGACCCGTCGATCGAATCCGCATGGTCGGACGAAGCTATTCAAAATTGAGAATTACAGCTACCTAAATTGTACAGAGTCGCATCAATTCCTGCAACGCTTCGAGCGCCTGACGATTTCTCTCTACGATAAAGTTGAAAATTGCCAGAGGAAATCCAAAAACTGGTGACTCGTTCAGGGGGGTATTTCTCTTACAGCCCTCCGAGAGAGTTCGTGTTCTTTCGGCCATACGGAGCTCGAGTCGTCGTCACGATCAGAGAACGCCGCTCGGATTGGTCCGCCGACTCTCGGCAGCGAGAGCTAGGATCATCACCAGTTTAGATGGATCGTCCCAAAAATAATGTGTTGCTTGCACTGCGTTCCCGATAGTTAAAGTGGTCAATGGTCTCCTCTGAGTAGCTCCATGAGAAGATTAAAACCTGGTGCCGCATCGCCCCTGCTCTTGGCTTGTCGGGAAGCCGCAAGGCTCTCCTTGGAGATCTGGCATGCGCGCTCGAGTTCAGGAATGCAGAGGAGGAGCTCGCCAAACTTGGCTGCGTTCGATGGATAGTGATTTGAAGTATACGATTGCAGAGCTTCAAGCACTTGTTTTTTACAAACACGAACCTTCTCCGCTTCCTTGAGACCAGAAGCATCTGAAAATGAGAGAGAGAATTGCTTCAGGAACCGGAGCCAGCGGAATACAGCATTCGGGGTGCGGCTCGTGATTCGTGAGTTTACCGCACGCCACCCGGGACCAAACCCCGGGAACGGGGATACGTACCCGAAGTGAGCAGCACAATGACCTTGAGGCAGACAAATTCGCAGTGATCAACGTGAAGTCTACGAAGATGTTCGGTGAGGTTCAGCATTCTCTCCACGACGGGCCCCATACCACATTGCTGGGCCTGGTGGAGAGTTACGCTTCGACCCCGAGAAACGCGAAGTTCACCCTGCGTGACCATAGAGCGGAAGCAACAGGACAACAGTAGGAGTTCGCACCACGAGTTAATTAGGAGAGCTATTTGATCATCGACGGTAATGTCTCTGAACAGTGGCAGACTCTTGCACCATTTGACGATTTTGTACAATCGATGATCCGCAATATTGCACAACGAGCTGAGCAGATCGGTTGTCGCTCCATTCGGGGGAGAAGAGTCGTCCATCGCCATAGCTTCTTCTTGTTTTATGAACATCTGACCGTCAGAGCTCGCGTCGTTCTCTTTTTCGCGCAGGTGCTGTTGTTTTTCCTTTTCGGTGTAGTGCCACAGGTGTTCAACGGAAAGAATGTCCTGGATCAGCGAAGGAATCCCAGCCTAGAAAGCGGGTAGGAGTAAGTTATTGGTGAGGAAGACTAAACCATCTCGGCCGATGTTCAGATTCGGAATAAACGGGACGCTTCAACTGGAAATCGATCGGCAACCAGGACTTACATCGTTAACAGCGGCATCTTCAGGAGGTAGGGTAGCACCGCCAGAGCTCCCGGATGAATCTCTCCTGCCTCCATGACCGTTACTGTTACCGTTGGATTCACCGGCTGCCACGCCGTGTGAGAATTTATGGTTTCCGTTGTCCAAGCTGAGATTGTGCGGCGACATCAGGAGTGAGGTCACAAGCGATGGCGAGTAGCCCAGAGACGAGTCCACTAGACCTCCAACGAGGCCGGCAAGAGAACCATTGCTATGTTTTATTGCCGAAGCCACTCGAGGCTCCGAAGATGTGATCACACTGGAAGATGAGGTGCGGGCAATCTTCACGCTGGAAGCATCGATTGATCGGTGTCAAGCGGTGTGCGGATTGCTACAGGATGGGATCGCGGCATGATCGAAAAGAAAATGATCCACAAACTCAACGAACCTATTGGATTTCTGCACGAGAGCGATTGGTTGGTGCACAGAATCTCGATTATCCTGCGCAGAAGCCGGTCGCGCGTTCGACGACGGGGCGTCTGAGGACGGCGTTGACGGAAGTCCTGGGTGGGGTGGGGTTGTCAGCGAGGGGAATCCATACGAACACTGATATGTGGAGCGGCCACCTCTGGTACGATCTTCTCGAATAGCTGGAAGATTTCGGGAATTCAGCGGTCAGAAGCTTCCGAGCCGGTATCGTATTCTCCGATGCCAGACTCCAAACATGCTAAGAAGTTACCTTCGAGTTTCATGCCCATCTTGAGACACTTGTCAAAGCGACAGGCTGGACACTTTTTGCGCGTGGCAACTTGCACGGCACAGTTGCCTCCGCGGAGACAGACATAGTGTTTCTTGTTCTGCACAGTACGCTTAAAAAAGCCTTTGCAAGACTCGCATGAAAAGATTCCTGCAGAGGGAACGAGGAATGGTTGAGCTTCGTGCTGATAACGCTCGAAATTCAGGATATTCCGAGAGGTTCCCTATCTGATCGATATGCTTACCGTAATGGAAACCAGAGATTCTATCACCACATATCGGACAAGGCCCCGATAGAAGTTGTTGCCGACTAAAACCACCCGCGGCATTAAATAGAGCCGTCGGGAACGCGTCCAAGTCACCGGGGGCGCCGTGCATTCCTCCGTAGTCGTTGCTTTCATCAGACGTCGATGAAGCCGTAGAGGACATTCCGCCGCCGCTCATTATGACACCTTGAGCCTGAGCGACTTTCAAAGCTGCAGCGGCGAAATCCCCCATTGTGAACAAGTGTCCTGGAGTAGATGAGGGGGGATTGGCTTCGTGGGGTGTTGGCGTTGCGGAGTTCCGAGACGATTCGACCGAGGTGCCCGAGCCCATGGTCAGGTTCCTCATATGGACGCCAGGACTACTTGAAGGAGAGTACACAGAATTCGCTGTGGGTCCGCCGGCGTACATTTGACCCGCTGCTCGCTGCTGTGAAAACAAGCATCGAATCAGTCTCCGCACCTTCACGAATTGGCGATAGTGATTGTGTCCTCCAGGAAGATTGAGATAGAGCAATGTAGATACCTGGAGAAGAGGACTTTGCGAGGGACTGTAGCAGGACGACCTGGAACTCGAACTCGAGGTTGGTCTCGGACTGCTCCGATGCTTGAGATGATGACCATTAGGAGCCCCGTTTTTCGTCAAAGCCACCGGGGCCGGCATTTCCCTCCCCGTAGTTATTTCACATTCGTTCTTGACGACAGTCAGAGAAAGCGGTTTCGGATCGTCGTCGGCTTCTTCCTCATCGTGATCCTCAACATCCTCCATCTCCGAATCCTGCTGATGATGAACTCCCATGGATTCATTCTGTCCTGGACTGTGAGGATCGTCCTTCGTCGATGATGATGGCGCTTGGTCGTCATCGTCCCACGACATAGACCGTGGCGGGGGGAATGTCGAGGATCCGCCGCTCGTCGGCGACGAGCTCGAGGCCGTCCCTGTCGGACGCGAACAAATATTTGTCATTAGTTCCGTGAACCCCGTTGCGAACCTCTCATTCTCCGGCTGGAGCGCATGCGTCATGAGGGAGAGCCGTTACGCCCGATCGGTACAAGGGAGGAGAGCATTGCCGGCGGTATTTCGAGAATGAGAGCCGTGCGGCGACACAAGACGCTACAACTACTCGAAAATGATGATTACGGAAATAGATAACGACCGCGCATTTTTCTCCTTATCCCGTATCTCCGACACTCGAGCTTGACAGCTTACCATTACTCGAAACCTCAGCTTCCCGTTTGGTGTGATCTTCGTCGACGCTCGGCGAGCCCGCGGACGTCGCGAACGCGTTCACAACATCCGCCTCGGCATCCGATGTGTCGCACTTGTGCACTGAGGAGTCCATCTGAGCAGTACATGGGGCGACCATGTTGAGTAGCTGTCGACGGCGGATCTCGAAAACCGGCTGCGTGCAGCAGAAACCGCGCGACTTTTGGCCGAACTGCCAAACAGCTCTCGAACCCCTCAACCACAGATCATCCTTGTACTTCGGGACGCCGGTGCTGGAAAGAATAGAAAGAAAATTGCTTGAACTCCTCGTTGCCAACGCAAGCGAACAGGGCTATCAGACATGGGGTTCGAAGGGAAAAGGCGAGCAAATCGGACGGGCGGTCGAAGACTTGAGCGGGTTTCGATCCGTTCCACAGCGAATTTTCCCTGTGACAACTCGAACGAAAGCAGCTTTGCGCGGACATCTTGCACTCCGTCAACTCGAACAGCAAGAACGGTCATCGTTCACGGCTGAGTTGCGTCGATGTGAGCCGCTCACCGTTGACCAATGAATACCGAATGAGACAGTGGATTTCGACTCGACAAGTGGAAACAACAAACGCGGCAGTAAGTTGAACTCGACCCTTCGAGAATTATTTCTCTCTAGACGCATCAAGTGCAGCCTCTCCGTCGACGATATCCTCGTAGAACGCGGATGCGGCCCACATGATGGAAGAAAGGTCACGGCGATACGGCATTTCCGAATCTCCATCTGGATCTCAGTGACTCGCTCCTGGAGAAATCCATTTTAGCTCCGACGTCGCTGTCTTGTCTCCAGCGACCTGCGCCCGCTACTCTTCCTTAAGATACATTTCTTGGTAAACATTCCCGACTATCACTGATGGGCAGATTAAGCGACCGCGATGGAAGCGTCGAGAGCAATCGACGATAATAATGTTAGCCTTCTACGCGGTGTCGATCAAGGCTGTCTGCGGCAATGGCTCCCTCGCGACGTCCTCGGGAAAGGGCTGGCGGCCCTGACATTGACGGAGGCCGTCCTTGGCCGTGAACTAGCGACTGTCCCAAGGATGACAGCATTTACTCACTCACTCACTCGAGCGGCCACCGTGAATATCTCTGTGTCTGCATATCGAGAGTCGTCGGCCGTCCTGTCTGTCCGCCCGACGTACCCTCGCAGTCGATTCCGTCCAGGCTGTGAGAAGGAGCGGGCAATCCCCCTCTCCCGCGCGTTGCGTGGAAAAGCCGTCTTCGAGTTCGTCGACGGCTGCTCGGTCGGGTGAACGCTGTCGCCATCCAGTCTACAACGATCCACACAAATACGAGGGCCTGTATAGATTGCCGGAAAGAGCGTCAGATACCGTCAGCGGGCCGAAGGCGCGCGGGAGACAGCGCGTCCGTCCGGCTCTCAACGACCCCGGCTTGCATCATTGAGCACCAGATTACAGACCCCATTCATGTGTACACGCTCGTCCTGAATTCCTCTCTGACAAGACGAGAATTTCTGTGAGAACATGAAGCCAAGCATCGGGACAACTATCATAGAATGAACTCTTCGAGTTAAAGCGGTTCACATTCTGAGGTCTGAATTTTCTATGCGGTCGACCTTCCCAAAACGTCATCTAGCCGGCTGACAGCAGCACATCCTGCCGAGTTGACTACCCATTCAACGTGCCGTAAATCATTGAGCCTATGCAAAGTACGCTGTCGTCGAATCGTCATCGCTCTACATGAGTCAGAGATCCTCGCCGCGATTGTAGAAGCATCGTTCTTCTTCGAACTTCCATAGCCATACCGGTTGAGACAGCAACTACACCGGCGGCGGCGGCTGCAAAGACGTTCTAAAGCTCTTTGTCGGTCTGGACGCCCGCTTGCTTGCTTGCCTGGTGGCTTGCTGGCTGGCCGCTCAGTCAAGACGTTGGGGTCGACGACTCATCAAGGTTTGCCCAGAGACACTTTCGCTGACAGCGCAGAAGTGCGAGCGTCCAGAAAATCGGACAGCTCGGAAGAGCATAGTGCGTTCAAAAAACCGACGAGAATCAAAGAGAACTCCGCCGCTTACGCGATATGTGTACAACTCGTTGAGAAGTCGTATATGAAGCGAAGCTTGAAAAACCCGAGAGGTTCATACCCGAGCCCGCATCGAAAGTTGACGACGAAACAAATTTTCTGAAGCTCTTCGGGTTTCTCTCTGGTTGGACCACGTCGTGCGCATCTTCATTTTTTCCCTTCTTCAGCCCGTCGAAAGATATTCGGAATACGTCGGGAGTACTTCGAGGGACGTCGCGAGCCGGGGCTTCACCTCCTCCGATTTACCGAGCCCGATTTCCCCGAGTACCCGTCAAAACGGAATTCCGAAAATTCCCTCTTCGATTTGCCCCTATCAACTCTTCGGAAGGAAGAAGTCTGATCTCAGTGCCCAGCTGGCGTCGAGCAAAAATGCACATGTTGAACAAATGTCTTCTGAAGGCTTTTGTCTGGTGTGAACTCCAATGACCTTCCGATGTCCGCCCGCTGACGCAACGACGCCGCATGAGTAAGGGGTAACTACCGAAACTCAACTCATGACCGAGACGTGGTATTCATCGAGGAGAAGTACTCACCCTCACGTGGTCTATCCGAGTTTTGATTCTAGACACAGAAGATTTATAGAAATCATGGGCTCGGGTCGCTCAGAGGGAAGGAGCTAACCAAATGGGCTGGTCTCATCCCAGACCGCGAAAACAGACCCAAATGGAAAAGTCGAGCCTCGAGAGATACTCCGGCAAGTTCAAGGGACCCCACGTCTCATTCTACCACGCTGTTTTACTACGAGCACTTGTGAGGATTCCTCTTCCCGACCTTTTCAAGAACGCTCCAATCGCCACTATCGTTGATCCATCTCTTTATCCTTCGAGTCTATCAAACGCCCGAATATCGCCGCTAAAAATACTCGCACGTAGCCTCTCACTCGCTCTCTTCCCGGCTCACGCATACCTCTCGGTTTGAGCTTGCCGCTCTGATTGACGCTTCGCGAGCCCTGTACGCGAATCTCGAGGAGATCTCGATCTCGCGTTCGATATGGATTGCGAGCCGGCCCGCGACAGAAATTATCGCATTCGACTCCACCGTCGTGTCGAACGCCGCGAGCACCGATGCACAGACACCAGCGGTTTTCTCGTCATTTTCGTGTGGTGGGCAACACCTCGGACTTGAAAGCTCCCATTGACTACCTGATTGTAGGCGATCATCAACGTTTTGGGACCGACTGCCGACAAGAATGGCACTGGTACAATTCCATGGTAGCTGCATGGGCCCCTCAAGCTGAGTACACAGCGATTGCTGCTCGGGGCTCAGTTCAATAACCATGACAACCTGAGGCGATCTCCGGTTGAAAACTCCAAATTACGTACGCATTTTGCATTGATTGATCGGCTCCTTGACGTAATCGACGATTTCCTAAGGCACTGAGTCGCACGATTCACCTGTATTCCAAGTTACTGCGGTGACCACATGGCACAACAGCAAAAGGTAAAGAGAAGCGTTGTCTAGACGGTGCTGGAGGAGTGGGTTCGTTCGCAGTGCAGTGACCCTAGCGACGGCGGACGTCCATCTCCGTTGCGCTGCAGGCGCTACAAAGTACGGCGGCTTCAACGCTTCGCGAAATACACTTCGGGAACCGATGGCTCAAACACCGAACACTTTCAGCCGCACTTCGAAATTGAACGAACTCAGCTGAGATCGCGCATTCATATAAACAGGGAGGCTAGGCCTAACCAGCATACTTCAAACTCGACAGAGCCGATACCCGGTCATCGCTCGCAACCGCTCTCTAGGATTCATCGCTGCGTCCCCGTCTTGGAGCTCTCGGAACGAGTACTCCTCATAAGGCGTACAATTCATCCGGGAAAATCGCAATCACGAGAATATCCATTTGTCATAGACACACCACACTCACTCACTCACTGCTGGCAGTCAGTCAGTGAGTTAGACAGTCGGAGACAGTGGCACGGAACGCTTACGGCTAAAGCTTCAAACTTCTGCTTACTTCTGCTCTTCGAGCCATCCAGGAGGACAATGGTGTACTGGAGAATCACTTAACCGTCCGCACGATGCAACAGCCCTGATTTAACGTAGAAAACGTGCTGCGAGGACACGCTAGCGAAACAAGCACGGACCGAGATGTAAACAGATCTGCATCACCACAGTGCAGACAACCTTAACGTCAGGCCGCTTGCTCAAATCAAAACAAGGGGTCGGCTTCGCTTTTTCGTACTTCCCGTCGCGACTTCCGAGTCTCGGCGACTTCGGAGCTTGTAGCTTGGCTCCGAATGTCCAGAACATCATCGATACTGTTGCAGAAAGTCGTCAGCTTCCCGCTCGATTCAATTCATATATTTTGGCAGCTCAATCCGCTGCACCCCCACCTCCCCGTAAAAGGCTCAGTTTTCTAACTAGAAGTAAACTTCACGCTCGAATAGCGGAGAATGACTTGAATTGGGGCCCAGAATGCGACGAGAATATCGAAATCCTTGTAAAGGTAAAACCATCGGGGGTCACGGTCAAGGCCCCTTCGAGTTGTCCGCACTGTGATTTACCGGCGAGACTCGAGCGCTCATTCCGGCTTGCAAACGTAAATGCCGTTACGGGTGCTGTCACGGGGCATTACGGCTCCCGGAATCAATGGGGGTTAAGAAACGGGAGGATATCAGGCGATTTCAGGCCAAATCACGAGATCCGAGGCGGACTGCTCTTTGCACTTGCTCTCTCGAAGCTTCTCTACTCGGGAGGGTCAATGAGCGCTATGAATATAGAGGCGGTCTTCGAGTTTTGCAGTATGCTCATGGTCAGATTCATCTCAATGTCATCGGAGGTTCTTTTTCCTGCTCCCTTCCGGATCTGGACGAGATTGGACATTTCTTCCCTACCGCGGGGAACTAGGATCTCTCTCCATCCTCATCCTGCCGCGACCGGATTTTCTTCTGGCGACTCCCGATTCGGACGGGGTGCTCCAGGACGTTGTCCTTCCTCCCGCTCAACATTCTTGACGTTCTCCTCTCCTTCACCGGGACGCCTCATTTATTCTGAGGATATTCTACGGGATGATGTCCGGCCACTTCTCGAGTGGTCATTTGACTATATACAGTGATGCGTGTCCGGATAGTACACCACGGGATTCGAGATCACTCCACAACCAACTCTTCGGGCTCGTGATGTGTTTAGAGCTTCGCTGTTCTGCGGAAGGCGGGAACGATCCCAGTCAGAGAATGCATTAAATATGTATCTCTTCCATTATGGAAAACTACCCCGTGGGCCTCCGCCGTACGCATCACATGAAGCGGACTGATGCAGAATTTCCATACCGTCCCTTTGGGAATGGCAAAGACAATCGTCCCCCTCCAAGACCACCATTTGCGGGGGCGGGTATTCGCCAACCTCCCGTGAAGTGGCAGGGCTATTGACCATGAGTCGGTGCCCGAGTCTCCCGGAAGTCAGGTGTTCCGTGACCTTACCGACGGAGAAGATATCGTCAGGAATCCCTTCATCAAACACTATACCGAAAGACCATGATTTTCTCGGGTTTGATCGGTGTCTCCGTTTTCTCGCGCGTTCGCAAGAGCGCTCATCAAGACGGGTCGGCCGGGATGACTTACAGAGGACGGAGCTGAAAGTCACCCGACGACCTCCCTCTTGGCGGGAGACTGTCCGAGGAATCGTTGCGTTTTGACGATTGGAAAGATCTCGACAAAACTCCGGCAACCCTTCCGAGGAAAGGATTCGACTCTGTAGGTTCCAGTCTCTCGAATCCTCTCAATGTTAATTCCTCATAATTAAGCAGTTCGGAGTCTGGACCGCAGTAGGCTGTCAGGCAGAGAGCTTCGGTAGCCCGAATGTTACAATGCCCGAATGTTGTCCCAATCAGGAACGGATATTCGATTGAATCCGCGAAGCATCGGGTTCTCTCAGTTGTTTCACTCGATGATCGTGAGCGATAGGACAGAAGGTCAAGAATCGGAATTCGGCGACTGCGACCGCTTTCGGCGATGCATCAACACCTTTCACTGCCGCCTAATTCTGACAGAGCTGCAAAAACACGAAAGGACCGGAGAGTCGCATAATTATTTCCTTCCCGGCAGAGATCACGGTCATCATGGCCGTGGAGTGTGGAGGGGATATCCTGCTGCGAGTCCGTCTGCAGTCTGACTTATGACTTCATTCCATTCACTGAGTCTGTCTCCTGGCCCTGCACGCGGGTCGCGTGAAAAAGCATTTATATTCCTTCCCCATCGACTCCCTCATCCCACGGGAAGTCGAAATAGGGGGAGGTCTCACTTTGAGGACTCGTTCTTGTGGTAGTCCTCGAAGCCGAATTTTGTACTCCCTCCGTAAGGAGTCGCGCTGCTTGACCGAGCGCCTAGAACGCCGTCCGACCATCGACTCGGGCGGCTTCAGAGGATGCTTGCCGATACGCGGAGGGTTGCTTGGAATGGAGCTCCCGATGGAAAATTCATACTGCCCGCCGCAGCTTGAGAGAGAACCTAGCTCGATTCCCCCGCTAAGCCCGCCGGCGCGGGCAAATACTTGAGATGCATGCTTTGCAGATGATAGACGGGAGAGCCCCGGAAGGATTCCCAGTCCGAAATCGGTTTCGATTTAGGATCGGGCTGCTTGGGGATCTGATATTCGACTCGAGTATTCATGGTCGCAGGCATCGCCCTCGGACCAATAACGTCTTGACGGCGTCAGCGGACCGCACAGCAGCAGGTTCAGCGGCCGCAGCGGCGAGGTGAGAGACTGGGAACGCCGCTGTTTCGGCATTACACGTTGTATTGCGTCGAACTCGGGAGCGCGTGGAGTTGCTCACCATCTTTGACAGCCACCTGATGTAGACAGGTTAGCAACTTGAAACACTTCGAAGTTCGGGCATTCCCCTTGCAGTGGTCGGAAGCTGATCCCGATAGATTATCACCATTCCGAAGATACTGTCCTGGAGCCGGATCAGCTGATACCAGATGATTCCGGTTCGAGTCCAGAACAGCTGATGCGGCATTTGAATGAATCTCTTGAGGATCGAGACTCGAGACCCGACGGGATTCCCGTCATCGTTCATATATCTGTGTGAATATTCACAAATAAACATGCATCCGTAGGGGGGGAAGCTTTGATGCTTCTGCTTCCTGCAAGGAAAAAAATTCTATCCTTCTGTGACCTTTCGAACCCTGGGAATGCCGAAGGGAAGAACTGAATGTCTGTCCGATCATTCCGTTCTCCTGAACGGGATCCGCTTGCTCGTCCCGCTCCAAATTTGATCTCTGGCCCTCGGAGTGTTCCCCTCATGTCTTTTTTACCCTCGATCGATGTCGGATGGGAATGATGACTATTCGATGCAATGCCCATGATTATTCGCGTCCGTTCTGAAGCCATACCACGGAAGTCATTATCAATCATCACAATCCTCTCCTTTCAGTGTGCCAAAAATGATCGGAGCAGGATGAGTCCATGACGGAGACGTGAAGTTTCTGTCCCCATCGAAACCATGCTCACATTTATCGTGTTGACGGTGTCCATCTGGACGCTGCTCAATCTCACAGATCTTATACTAAGATCTTGCATGTGTCAACCTTACATAGATTTTTTAAGTTACCGAAATCTAGAGGTGAAATCATTCCGCATAGAATGGTTCACGACAAGGTGAGAGAGTTTGGTACAGACATTGTTCCACGCACTCATCATTAACCTTCCTGAATATCTCCCTCCTCGCCAAAAATCGGAGCAATTTAATGATTCTTTCTCTTCCCTCGCCTTAGATTGAATCACTATTTCAATTGCAACAGCCGGCGACAGTCCCAGTGGTTCGAAGTAGGGACCATTGTCTCCCTATGCCTTATGCCGGTCTCGTTCATATTCTTGATACGAACGGTTGCGTCCCTGGTCTCTGAAATTCTCTATGCCGCGCCGTCTTCGTCATCGATGGATCTCACGCCTGTCCTTCCCGGAGTCAACATTCCCCTGTCCGACTTGCCCTTTTACCTGAGCACGTTGGTCCTTTGCGGCGTGCTCCACGAGTTCGGACACGCTTTAGCTGCTTCGTGGGAAGGTGTTAGAATAAACAAAGTTGGAGCATTCATAATCATAATATTCCCGGGTGCTTACGTCGACCTGTCGTCGGAAGTTCTGAGCAAGGTCTCACCGTGGAGACGCATCAAGATCTTCAGCGCGGGGATATGGCACAATTTAGTCATAGCCGCCGTAGCTTGGACGCTCCTTGTAGTCGATCCCGTGGTCCTGACTCCTGTTTTCCGCGCCGGGGTCTCGGTGGTATCCGTTGTGCCCGATAGTGGTGCAGACGGGCCTTCGGGACTCTGGCCCGGCGATGAGATTCTCTCCGTGAACGAATGCAAGGTTGACGGCTACAACGACTGGCAGACTTGTCTCATGCTGTTAGTATCAGAGATTCGGTTTTTTTTGAAAAAAACATTTGAAACAAGATGTCTTCCGACCATTGGTTCGTGCAATCCTCATTGGCAAACGACAAGAAAAACATGGAAAATTATCTATCACTACCCTCGACAGGTACATGCGACAGCCCCAATTGGGCGGTTGTCTAGAGCGGAACTACGTCGTTGGCGCGGCCACTTCCGCGAGCAATTCTTGCTGTTCCGGCCTGGAATCAGGATCCGAGCTCTGCTTCAGCCTCCAACCATCCTTCAGGAGTTCAGAAGAGTGCCTGTCAGCCCGGAGAACGATCATAAAATTCACGCGTCCTTGCCTGAACGAAACCACGTGCGGGGAGACCGAAGTCTGCGCGACGCCTAAACTGCCTCATCCGAAGCACCGGCTCGTCATCATACATCGAGCGAACGTTCGTCAGGACATGCTCTTCCTCGGCCCCCCTGAGCATCTCTGGAAGTTCGTCAGGGTTGCGCCTTACGTGCCTAGGACTCCGATAGTTTCTGTACAGACTCTTTTTTACTGGGAAACCTTTCTCAAATATGTGATGTCCTTTTCTGGCGCTCTGGCTTTCCTCAATCTCATGCCGTGCTACTCGTTAGACGGAACGTGGATCTTGAGCGCTCTCATTGAACTATTGTGGGGACGCAGGAGTCCAACACGTAATCAAAGGCTGTATAATGTTATAATGTTCATCGGCACGACGTTAGTGGGAGTCACGGTGACTCTAGGTCTTCGAAAACTGTTTTATATTATCTGAATTTCTCGAGTATGGACTACTGGAGAAGAGTCACGCTTCGGGATGCAGGAATCGTCGGAGATTGAAAGGCGCCCAATTTCCGCTGATCTGCGCTCCGATGTCCCGTTCGAAGGAAGACCCCGAATTCTCGCATTCCCGTCGTTTCGCAGGAGAAGACAGGCAGCTGGGAGTCATGTGTTATGATCCTGTTGAGCTCAGTCAGTCAGTCAGTTCTCTTCTTGAAGGATCGAAGTCGGTACTGGGTGTATATTATATCTTATCTCATCTCACAAGGGCTGCTGTGTGCAGAAAATCTCTGAGGATTTGTGTGGCCAGCCAAAACCATACCGTTTCTACACGTGACCTTGCATGAGAGCCTTTTGTGACGCCTGTCTGTGAACGATCGTTCAGATTCAGACATTTAAGTACGACAGAAAGAATTGGATGAATACATGGATGAGATCGACTGAGCCATTTGAATTACCAACCCCCTCCCCATCATGGAGCTTGACTCCCAGCAATCAACCTCCTTCCCTAGAGGATCTAGTCGTCGACACTGACCCGTATCGGCGATCCGGCAGGTCTTGAGACAACTCATGCCGCGAGCTGGATGGCTCGATTCTACACTAGAGGGGGACTCGACCTTAGATATATATGGAAACAAAGCGTCATTTATTCGGATATGTACAATATCGGAGCTCATGAGCGAAGTCTAAAGATCTTTACGTGAGTTTTCCGATCACCGAAGTGGGCAAGATTGTCTTTCCATCTTCCTAGACTATTGCACACTATCTGAACGAGATTCTTCTCCACGAATAAGAGTAGGCATGGTGTGTACACGGTACGGTAGATTGTTCGGTCCCGGCGGATGAGCCCCACCTTTCCGCTGTCGGGATCCAGAGGAGAAATGGAGCGGGAGGCCACCAACGAAACGGGATATCTGTCCAGATCCCCACGTAACCACGAGGCTCTGTGAGGTTGCGATGACTAGAACGGATTCAATTCATTGCAGGTCCATTTGTCTTTGACAGGACTGTCTATGATCGCCACTCCCGCGTAGCTTCGTCCTTGTTGCATAAAGCTGTTCAACATGCTCCACGAGTTCGTTTTAGGGTCGTAGACTTCCACGCTCGCCAAGTTGCAAGTTCCGTCATCGCCACCAACCACGTATAGTAAGCCGTCGTGCGCTATAACTCCAGCATTCCGACGAGCTAACATCATATCGGGAATGCAAGTCCACGTTTGTTTGCTCGGGCAGTAGCATTCAACGCTCTTCCGGACCACAGGTCCATCGTGTCCTCCGACTGCGTACAGTAAGTCCCCAAGCACGCCGACTCCGGCTCCACTCCTCCGCCAAATCATATTCGTGCACGCTTTCCACTCGTTTAATTTAGGATCGTAAACCTCGACCGAGTTGAGGCACTGTCTGCTGGCGCCATCGTAACCGCCGATTGCGTAGAGGAGCCCCGCGAGAACCCCCACACCTACGCTGCTGCGCCTGATCGACATGGGCGGTATCTCCTTCCATTCTGAGAGCTTCGCGTCATAGCATTCGGCGCTATTCAATCCTGTAGCGCCGTCGAAACCTCCAACCGCGTAAATGACGTTGTTCAGAACAGCAACCCCAAGAGTTGATCGTCGCGCCTCCAACTGGGCGGTCTGCGTCCACTGCAATGAAAATCGAAATGATCTAGGGTCACGATAAGGTGTGTAAGATGAGATGGCTCTACTGATATTCGTATTTCACTCTGATCCCATGCCGATATATGGATGGGTCTTCTCGCTTATTCGAGATGCGAAAAACAAGAAAGGAACAGACCTGGTCACGCTGGGGGTCGTAGAGGTCCACTGTCCGCACCCTTAGAGATCCGTTGAAACCACCGACGGCATAAACTTGCCCATTTAGAACGGCGATTCCGGCTCGACATCTTCTTGACGGGAGATCAGGCAGATTGATCCATCGATCCCTTTTGAAATCGTATCCTTCAACTGATCGTATGGCTTTGGGAGCTTGGCCGCCAACAACCATGAGGATCTGGAGACGGAATCAACAGTCATGAAGTACTGCTAATCATCAATTTCCCTCGAGGTCATGTCCTGCTCCGAGGGTCGTGTGAGGAAAATCGCCAGCACCGAAAATCTTCAGTATCTCCAGACATAGGGAAGGCACGATCTTTGATAGCTCTAAAGCCAGCTTATCGGGGAATGAATCCAGAACGCTGACCTTGGGTTTGCCTCTTGGTTGTCTTGGTTTGGCTCGGGATACACTTGCTTCGAAAACATGTTTTTCGTCGTCCTTAAGCAAATGGTATTTCATCGCCTCGATGAGCAAATCTTTACAATCGTGATTCTTCTTCAAATCTGACTCGACTCTGGTAACGAGGAAATTCTGAGGGAGGAGCGGCAGCCTCACATGCGGCATGAGATCAACCAGTTCTTTTTGTCGCGTGCTCGGGTCGAACCGAACCCAGAACATGACCGCATTATACACCTGCAATGCGGAACGAGTGAGAACCTGGAACGTCTACAGCAGAAGTTCTATCTGTCTTACACGAGACAGCACTAAGCGACGTGTGATAAGGAAGAAGCGACTCACCTGTTCTTCGCTAGGTACGCTGAGTTTGTCGCTGCGGATAAGCTGAGCGACTTGGCTCGCGGTGAGAGTGAGAAATTCTTCGTGCTGTACCACTTCGACGAAGTTCTGCTCAATGAAACTGTCAGCCAGAGCAACGAGCTTGTGACATCCGTGAATATCGGCGAAGCTACGGATGCCTAAGCAATTGGACGGATGGAGCTGATGATGCAGGAAACCACAACAGGCATTCTTAACATCGGTCAACTGAAGAATGTTCGCTGCCGGAAGGACCAGCTGCGAAAGAGGAAAAACATGTCTTGAACTTCCGTTATTCCGAGTCGAGACCTATATTCTCGTCCGAGGAGCAGCAGTTATCTCAACACAGTCCAACTCAAAAGCGACACGCTTCCTCGAATATTCCATTAACCGCCGAATACGCAGCATATGGAACTATGAAAAATTTCCAACATTTCCCCCGCGCGGAATCTGACTGATGATGACATCACTCCATCGGAATAAAGCAATATGGACACTCAGCTACAAATGCTCATGGTTGGACCACACCCGAAGCAATTCCGAGAGGGTCGTGCTCGTCAAAAAATAGCTGAGATAGTCTCCACCCATGGAGGCACTTATGCATCGTTGAGCATCTTGGATTGTTGCTTCTGGGTTCGAAACTCCATCTGAGGCTGTCTCGAAAAGAAGACTCACCTGTACGTTTTCTTCGTTCACATGAATTTGACTTGTGTACATATAATCAAGCAATAGGAGCAGAGCCTCTCCCTCGAGACTTTGAAGGGTAATTCGATCCTGTCGTTGTTCTTCGAAAGCCGTGAACATCGCATAAAAATAGGCGGAGCAGGATGCGAGCAACATTTTATGAGCAGGAGCCTCGACGCGTCCTGCTACGAGGGTCACATCGCATAGTAGTCCTTGTCTGAAGGAGTATGAGAGGGAGTGTTAGCCTAATCAGAAGGTTCGGTTTCTTCGGAGGGCTAAAATATTCTGTGACAGAAGTAGATGGAGGAGACGTAATCGATGTACGCTAGGTATGCATGCCGCAGTTGTGAGCTCAATCCGACCGACACCCTCGCAATTCCACGGGAGGAAAATGAAAGCGGGTCGTCGATTTCGCTCGTGTCACTAGGCCAGCCCCACGCGATCCGTAAGCACAGACAATGTATCCTCTTTTACAATTTTCCACTGCTATGTGTCGAAGAACTCATTTGCTCGACAGTCGATGATTTTCAGGATATCAGACAACAGTAGAGCCGTAGAATGCTCCGTCCTTGTCAGACGATGATAATCAAAGTCGGACGGAGCAACGTGAGGTCCTCTATGTACTTCCCAATCCCAGACTCGCACCGAACGCCTCCTCGCAGTTCATATGAGCCTGACAAAATGACTGACAGTAGAATCATTGTCCCGAATTGGATCAAACTTTCTGTGAGCGTAAGCTTCGAGGACGCAGCCCGACGAGATCAATCGAGCTTGTTGAGCTTTCACTCATATTAATCCACCACAGAATCATATTGCGGCACCCGGAGCTTTTCGAGAACCTTCAAGAAGGTATTGAAACGATCAAAGCGAACAAGGAAGATTTTGTGCAAAGTAGAGGAAGCTGATCTTGAGCTGTTCTGATGGCGGTATTGGTGGGCTTTCCTCTATTCCGATGCCAGAATTGCCGACAAGATTTCAGCCATTGATAAGTTTGCCACTCGATTACCGAGGAAGTGAAGTAGGTTGACGAGCAATTCCCAGACAATATTCTGGTTTCGTCACGATTGGAAGGTGACCAATAAACCTCCGCAGAGAAATCGTGAATATGGCGTTTCGCTGAAGAAAAACTCACTTTCGCAGTTGATTCATGGTCTCAAACGCTTTCTTCGAGTGTTCAGGGTTCCGATACGGCATCGGTGGACCGCGGGGTTCGACATTTTGATCTAATTTCAATGCCAAATCCGATTGCCTGCAATAAGAGAATTCACCTCGAGATGATTTCCTTCCACGACTGAGCCGTTATAAGATTAACGCATGTTCCCCGCCTACGACTAAAAGTATTGCTCAAGAATACGTCAGGATAGTCCCCTCGAGGATGGAGACAAAGAAGAGCTGTGTTGTATCGCACCTCTGACTGACCAGAAAGACTAGGAGAGAAACAGAATATTATTCAACCGTTCCACATTTCACATTTTTTCAAATATCAGAGACCCAACATTTGAGACAAGTTTCAATTCCGAGCTCGCTCATCACCTCGAGGACTTCCCTTGTGAAACTTTCGAGGCTCTCATATTTCTCGGGAAACGGGTTATCGGCATAAGGCGTTTTCCACTCCGCGATCGTCGTCTGCTCCTAGTTCCTCAGTACGTCTTGAAATATCTCGACAGTAGGCAGTAAATTTTGAGAGTAGAGCTTGAGGATGTTGCTTCTCGAGTTAAGTGAGCCATTGCGATACCGAGGGTTTTCGCGCGACTGAGCTTACGGCGAGGAGTCGTACAGTGATGGACGATGGGATACACAACAGTGCCACGCGATCGTCAGGAGCCCCATATTCCGGAAGGCTTCGAGATTGACGAAGTTATCCAAGAAAGATCGCCTAAGGAGCTCCGACGAGCATAGCGCATCTATGAGCGAAGTTAGATCGAATCTTGAAGTTTCGTCTTCATCCAGAGAAAAAGTCTCTTGTTCCACTCTTCGCTCTTTGCGCATACGAGCATTGTCAGCGAAGCGTCGCAATTCGAAACATGTTCGCCTCCCGCTTCCTGATGCCGGAAATTCTGTTGGCCTTGGCGCCGATGAAACATTGGACTTGAAAACTAGCGTTCTCGCTCATCGTGGAGCTATTCGCGGATGACGCTTCTGCTACACGCCACCAACCAGCTACCACGAGCTTGGAAGAATCGATACCTCCGGGCTGCGGTCACCTTCCAGAGTATAGATCGCCAGAAAACGGCGTCGATTAAGAATCATCATTTTGAACGCTTGAACGCTCTGAGACAGGCGACGCCAAGGTGAGCGCGGAAAGAAAGCGACTCAGTAATGAAACTTCTTCGCGCAGCCCTCCACTTCTCACGAGCCCCATGGATGGCACACAAGGTGCCCATAGCCCGCCAGATCTCTGCAGAACTCGCGGAAAGCCGGCGCCGAGTACCCGACCCCGCAAGATTACAATGTTGAATGTAAACCGATGCTTGATCATCGTCACTAATTGTCTCCGCTCGGAGAATATCAGAGCCCCGCCTCGAGACTGAGCGATCTCCGCAGCGATTCAACCCCTTTACCCCGAATTTGCGCGGCGATTCCGCGGTGAAGCGATGCGGGGTGGCTTTTTTTCCGAACTCCCAGGTCCGAATCGAGGTTGCCGCCACAGGCGAGACGAACTTGTTCCAGAGTTCGCTCCAGCGACGCGACACTAGCAGCTCACTGGAAAAGTACTCGACAATGCAATTGTCATGAAACAATGCAGTTCCGCTTTCCGCCCTACTTTCGAACGGGATTCCACACGGTTTTCCATTCTCTCCGAGCCTCGCTCGATCCTCAGCCGTCTGTTCCTGCAGTTTATCTCTCAGTTCCGTCGAGCTTGAAATCAAACTTTCGATTCGCTATCGACGACGTAGTATCCGATTGCTCGTGGAAGCATCGAGCACTGTGACAGATTCCATATTGTATGACGCCGCAGCATTCGATCACAATCCTTGACTTGGGAGGCTTTCCCGAAAGCAATGCCATTGAATTCACTAATCCGATCATCGCGTCGAATGTATAGAGGGATTATCGATAACGTTGTCGGTCCTCGGAGACTTCGGAATAAAATCGAGATCCTCTGAGGTTTGCAGTCCCGTCGCTCGTTCCATTCGACCACAGAACATATGATCTCGGTAGGTGAGGTAGAGGGACAGGGTGGTTGAAGCGATGGAAACTTACGTGAGATAGTCCGAGGACTCCGGCATCGACATCTTAACGGTGTGGCATCGAGCCAAAAAGCACAAACTCGTTCCACCCAATCCTCTGAATCACGCAGTTGCGCCTGGTGCACACAAAAGACTGCTCCTCCTTTGAACCCACAAGCTCGATGTTTCGTAACTTCCGGAGCACGGATCGAAGGGCTTCTTTCCTTGGCTCCCGTTAACGGGAATCCTGTGACGATAGTCGCTCTTGTTCTTCTTGTTTTGTGTGGGTTTCGCTTCAACACGGCGACTCGCCGCTTGTCCACTGTTTCTGTGTTTGACGATGCCACCGCTGCTGCGGCCACAACGACGACGAGGAGGAGGACGACGACTGTTGAGAGAGGATCACGAGCGCCAACACTCAAATTCTATGTGGATCCCTTGGGTGTATGTTTTGATCCTACTCGTGGAGGACCTCTCACTTCAACTGCAGAGTTCGCGGAATAATGCCAGTATTTGGGCAAAAGCCTCGAAATCAGATAAAAGTGATTTGGTTCAAGGTGAATGGTAGCATCCACTCGAGACTAGAGGACTGGAGTATCCTCAACCGATATTGCATCATCGACTCAGCGAGCGGTTGTCTGAATAGTTCCATTTATAAAGCCGATGCTGTATTGGGGGTAAGGTGCATGACATCAAACTTTATTCCTGACTCGGGCGTTCCTGGACTCACAATCCTTTGGCAGCAGAAAGCTTCCAGATTTTCGGCAGGAGGGATTGAACTCCAACGCGATACCATCGCTGAATGAGAGGGTAGGATTTCCACGACGGTAGGAATCCGAGTCACACCGGACAAGAAAAGGTCCATCCAATCGGATCCGACAACTGCGAACGGAGAGCGGGATAACATTTGCTGGCGCTGGTGTTCGAGCCGCGATTTTTGGAGACTGATCAAACAGTCCTGTTGGTTATGCGGCATTGCTCCGATGCCGGGTGAGAGGGTCTACGCAGCCGATCATTATAGAAAGCAACTACCTGATTGAGTCTGTTAACACGATCTTTTCCATATGTATCTCTAGAACGGCATGCCCGGGAATCGAAAGTGGAACCAAGCCCGAGGAAGCATTCAGTCGAATTGAATTAGCTGTCGAGCTCTACTCCGCGACAGACGCGGGGAACCCGATGCTTTGCAGGGAGAAGCCACATTTTCGAAGGTAGACTTCTGAGAGACCGCCGGACGGCGCGAGGTCAGCCCTAGTATGGATGCCGAAGAGGATTTATCCTCCCTGATGCAGTATCGGGCGACCGGCCATCCAAACCCCGGATGATCGCTCGGCAACTATCGATAGCGCGCTTTCCCTCCTGAGCACGAGGACATTCTCCATGTTTCGGGACGAGATTATCCCCTGAGGAACTCCATCCCGAGACTGGGCAAGCTGACCCATGACGATACCAAAGCCTAGAACATAGAACGTATGCGGTCCTTGAGAGCTCTGATTGGACGCTCATGAACTATGAGAGCTATTTCGAGTATCGGGGTACCTATTCCCGACAATGGCTCCACCGATCTTCCTTTCTCTGAAGTCATGGAGCACTTAACTCGCAGCCGAAAGGGGATGATCTCCCTTGCGCGTCAGCTCCTATACCCAAGCGATGATTCCGGCGTTCAGGAAAGGGTTTTCCGTTTGACCCGAATCAAAATCGGTGCTCCATGTTCCGTCGACCGTTCGAAAAAACCCCGTCCGTGGCACACGCCGACCATTAGACCTGACCGAGTAAGTGACACTCGAGGGATCGAGTACTCAATATATACCATTGGCAAAGCTCAACGAATGGAGCTTCATGTTCTTCCTCCCTATGCGTAGTATTGTTCGCCACTGAGCCGTACGAGATTTGCGCACCGCATTACGAATGCTTCATCGTCGCTCAATCGCCAATTGATGAGATGTTCTCTGGGATCACATCAAATCAAGTTCATAGCCCGAGTCACGAACCCCTCAGAGTTGTGTGAATAAATTGAACTGGGTCGATCGAAAATGTATTTGGCTTTTATTCATGTATATCCAGGTTGAATTCGGTTGATTCCGGAATTGAATAAATAAAATTCATCAAGAGCTGCTCGCGATCACTTCCCGAATAGAAGATGTGTCCTTAATTTCGCATCCTTACTCCCGAATCATTGCCGAGGAGATTTGTTCTCGCGTTTCTGCTTCGTGCATGTGTTTCGCCCTCACGTTTCCCGTGTCGGTTCTTCTCATCATCAATCACGAGACCACCGCGACTGAAGTTCATCTGGATAATCACCCACTTAAGCCAAATTTAGTTTTAACGAACGAGAAGTACAAAATCCTTTCATTTGTTTCACTTATTACACTTTACATTTTTATGTACAGTCGGAGATGCTCGCGCGCTTAAAAAATCGCTCGAACCTCTCCCCCAAAAGTCCAGAGAATTATCGCTTTATACACAGGAGAACAGAGATGCACCGACATCTGAGCAGCGCTGCTGAGGTCGGTGCTGTTTCGGACACGCGTCCGAACCGCGCTCGTCAACTATTGTTCTCAGGCATCGAATCGAAGCCGTCGGATTCCTGATCATGTATATTTATGTACGTACACATTAGTCTATCAATGAAGTCGGAAGAAGACTATTCAGGAGATGAGTTGCGCTCGCAAAGCTGCGCAACTAGACTCGAGCCTATGTTCTGGTGAACATCAATTTCACGAGTTTCGTGTCCCTGCATTTCGAGTCGGGTCGACCTCGTATTTTCGGGCTCCGTGTCAACCGCCGTTCATTCGACTGGCCACTCCTGCTCTTCTTTGTTCCGCTTGCTATCACCTCAAAACTATCCGAGGCTATTTGATCTTCCCGAGCTGTGTTTATGTTTGTTTTGGGGTTTGTTCTAGCTTTTTTTTCTATCGTTTCAAATTATTTCCGCTATCTAATTCCTTCGGAATTCCTGTACAGGGGTATGCTCCGAGTACCCGTTGATTTCCAACAACGATCTCTGCTTCACTGAGTTATCGAACTACGATACTGTATTTTCCCCGCTTTTCACTATACTTCTACAAGTGTTGGCTGAACCGAGGTCAGCCCACGTATCGAATAAAAATCGGTTTACGTCGCGATCTGATTCTGCTGGTTCAGTGGTCCCTCGTTCCGTATACGCGGTCCTGGTATGATTTGTTTAACGAACGAACGAACGAACGCGTACACCCCCCGAAACTCGACCATTCCATTGGATGGCTCACCTGATCTGGGGTTCCGTAGGCTTCGTTCCTGTATTGAGCAACCCGCGCCCTCCATTCAGATCAGCTATATACTGTCTAATTAAATGGCGATATCAATTATGCTGAGTTCTACGGCAAACAACGAGGGGCTTGCTGGAGCTTGCCAAACCGTTGATGTCCCGGCAGAAGAACTAATAAGTCGCGAAGCTATGCGATTGCATCGTCGTAGGAATATGACTTCGCCAGCTAGGTTTCGGTATTGGGGGTCAAGAATCGGGCCGATTCCGCCCAATCACTTTCTAAGAACATTTAATTCGTTTGTCTCTGATTTTCGTCGAAGATTAGCTCATCGTTTAGCTCTTTCATTGCGTTAAAAATATGGAGGAGAACATGACAATGATATCGACGACGATGGCATTGGGGATCATTCGAATCACGCAACATCGCTCTTCCCAGCTTTCTACTTTCCGCAGCTGGTCGGTTTTTCCGTCTCCCTCGGTATTCCCCTTGTTCCGAAATGTCATCTCGATAATCGCTCGAGAGCGCCTCGGTTGAGCGCTTCGGCTCCGCTGCGATTATCCTCATCGCTTATTGAAGTAGTAAATAATGATCACAATGTATACGACCAAGATTCGACAGGTGGACGCAGCAGTTGCACGAACGAAGTCATACTCTCGCTGATGGATTGCTTCGAGTACCGAGAAGGAGATTTCCGGAGCGTCCGCGATGAATGGAATCCCCTCATGTCTCTGACTTATTCCCCTTCAATTGGGCGATCAGTCGATCATTTCTTCGAATGTCGTCATTATGTTATTTTGCTCGTTCATGTCGATCTGGCCTGATTTGACTTCGCGTCTTCGCCTCTCCTGTTCTCGGCGCCGCTGTTTCTCACGATCAGCCTCGCTCTGCACCCCGGCATTAGGAGTTCTCATGTGAGCTGGACTGTTACTTCCTGAGCCGCCTGAATTCGAGGGAACTTCAATTTAGATCCCCACCTGAACTCCGGGGAGAAGGGAGAAACAATAGATTCATCGAAACATACAGCGAAGCCGCGTCGGACCTGACCGCGCTCCTACCTGAATTGTCCGAGGATGGACCGTGGAACGAGTGCATCGAATGCGGGCTGTGCGAATTAAGGAAACCGGCTTGCAGATGATCTTTATTGAGAGTGGCCAATTGGGGATTGAGTGGGTTCATGGCTCCAGATGCCATGACCCCGCCACCGCCGGACATGGCCACACCTCCACTCGCCATCTGCTTGTTGCGCTCCGCCTGCTCTTTGCGTTCCTTGGCTTCGTCTAACATACGTTGCTGCAGGAGAAAATTTATGATTGGAGGGAATCCGGAATTTTGGTCGGGATCCTTCAGTCGGGATACGGAGCTATACGACCCGACCGTATGCACATCCCTCTACCGGAGTCGGAGGATCTCGCCTGGAGGGTCGAACATTCATGAGGAACTCTTCTCACCTTATCGGCTTTTTCCTTTGCCTGTTTCTTGAATTGCTGGAATGAATTACTCATGGCGTGCGGGTTGAGATTTGTCTGGCTCTGCGGGTTGTTACCGCTGTTCGAATTGCCGGTCACCAGACTAGACCACGAACCATAGTTCCTCAATTTGCTACTTTCGCTCTGCAAACAGAAAAGGAACCTCTCATCAGTCCAGGGAGGCAAGTACTCGCAGACAAGAGATCAGGCTTGCTTCGCGAACCTCCGGTCGAATGGATCGGCCATGCGCCCTCTTCGAATTGCTCGCCGGCGTGATGTACTCTAAGCTCTAAGCTCTAAGCAAGGGTGACAAGCATAAGTGTGAGGGATACCTTATGATTTGCAGGTGCTTGGTGAGAAGCTTGTTGTTGCTGCTGCTGCTGTTGCTGCTGATGTGGCTGCTGCTGTTGAGGTTGCAAAGTGGGCACCTGCAGCTGATTTTGCATAGCAAGAGCGCTCGGAGGTCCACCCATCCCAGTCGATGCCCCCGGAGCGACTGCGTGCTGTTGATGCATCTGCGACTGTTGCGAGCCAAGTGCCAAGCTTGAGCCGAAGTCGCTCGTGGTCGTTCCAGAGTCAGGATGAAGCATTTGGTGATGACTCGGCAATCCCAGCGCGGCCAGATCGCCGCTTTTAAATTGGCCCAACTGTTCCATGAGGTTTTTCTGTCCAAACGGATCCTATTTGGAATGGATCAAACGGTCAGCCTCCACCGATCAACTCGAGATTCGTTTCCCGAGGGTGAGATCTCTTTGTTCTCCAAAGAAAAAAACTCCAGGACGATACGGCTAGCTAGACGGTCATACGAATCGACTCCTGTGTGGCAGGAGCTCCGCAATCCACATGCACCATGCCATATTCCACGGAAACATCAACCAGCCGCAACTGTAGTGCAAGCTGTAGAACTGTAGGCAAACATACACTGACTCGAAGCAGATGAGGGAATACCATGCATAAGCGTGCGTAATCCTGTAATTCGTCGTCGAGTTCAAAATCTCCATAGGATTACAGCCCTGATACCGAGCCGGAAAGAATTTCGAATCCGTTGCGAATCGATTTTAGTGAAAGGGAAGACATCCTCCGATCGGGTCGGAGAGAAAGCGACAGTCAAAGAGAGACACCACACCTCCAAACGTATACTGAATCAAGCATTCATCGCGCCCTATCTCAATCCAGAAGCCCGATCGAGCTCTCCGCAGACCAATCATTCATCCTTCCCTGCCCCAATCGATCAATCATTCATTCATCCAACCAACCAGCCCACGCCGACAGATCCCCCACATCAGCGACCAGTTAGCGTATCTAGCCCACGGGGGCAGCCGCATCCATGAATGCAATGTTGTCCACCAATCGGTACCATCCGCTTGTAAACGTGCTGACTGCGTTCGTACGTCCATCCGTTTGTCCCTTAACCAGTTGCAGAGAGCGAGAGATAGAGAGATCGATGTTTGGCTTATCGGCGACAGAACGCTTTTCTCCTCTCGCGAACGTACCTTGCCGAACGCCAAAGGGTCAAGACCCATGAAGGCACTCATATCGAGTCCGAGTTGGTGAGCTGATAGGTTTGGACCCATGCTCCCCATCGGAATTCGTTGTTGAGCTTGCAATTGAGCCCCGGTCTGAGCAACGTCACTTGACGATTGCATCTGAGGCGTCGTCGATGTCGGCATCCCTAGACTCCCGCCGGCATGGGATGAAGGAGGGAATTTGCCGCCTCCGCCTCCCGTTACAGAGCCCAGCTGGTGTTGAACGTGACCCGGCAGCTGCATGTTGGTGCTCCGCATCGAGTCCAAGACCCCACCGAGTATGGGGGCTGCCTGTTGTGGCCTCAACGAATCCACATTCGGATGGTTCGTAGGCCGGGGCTGAGTCGGGGCAGAAATGCCCTGGTGTGGCGGAATTCCGAGGCCCCCAGCGGGGGGACAACTTACCGCCATCAAAGGAGCGTGGTGCGGATTGGAGGCGGCGGCAGATGTGGCGACATTATTTAAGCCTAGGGAAGCACCCCCGATAGGTGGGAGACCTGCTCCTAACGGACTCAAACCGTTCAAGAGATCCGCATGGGCAACATCCTAAAGGGAATGACACAAGGATTCATCAAACACATGGGGTTGAACAGGGACACCGGATCGTGGTGAGTGGGAGGTGCGGGGTGATAAACCGACGAAGCACGAATCGATAGGACGAAAAAAAATGAGCAGAGAAAATAGACAGACGAATTTCACGTTCATCCCTAGAATCCCCTAATCAGGGATTCTCTCGATTCATCCAGCGTTCCGCTCTCACACTCATGACTCTCTCTATTCGTTGTGCTTCTACTCCCTCTTGGAGGAAGAAAAACATGCCGTCTGTCGCTCACTCGGCAGAACTTTCCCTCACCTTCGACAGCAGAGCAGAATCCGTCGTATCTAGAGCCGGCAGCTTCCCGCCTGTCGTGCCTACGTCGTGTTGAGGAGCTTGCGCTATCGATGCATCACTCGCAGCTTGCGCGAAGTGCTGCTGTTGCTGCTGCGACGGGTGCGGCGGATGCTGTTGCTGCGGATTCTGCTGATGTTGTTGCGATGGATTCAACTGCCCTGTCATTCCAACCGCAGTAGAACTGGTGGCAGGCTTCTGTCCTCCGGCTGCTGAAGCACCGTTTTGTCCTGGTTTCTTGCTCGTTCTATCTCCTTTCCCGTGGCCAGCACCTGAAATTGTGGAAATCACTCACCATTCTTGCACATCTCGACTCGATTTGAGCGCGAGTGGCTTCGGGGGTTGCTCCTCTGCTGACCTGAGACCCGTATTGCACAAAATTCAGAACAACCCCGACAGAGTCCCCCAACTTTTCGATTTGCAAGCAAGATTCCCAGAAAGCTATTCCTGAACGGTTCCCCTGACCCAGTCGAATCGACCCAATGCCCCTGCTTGGGAGAGACGGAACATTCCCCCTACTTGGATCGCAAGCGCGACTCGACACCGAATCTCTCGGAGAAGTTTGAGAAACATCGATGGAGTTCGATTTCAATACATCGAGGTCTCCGATACTGGAAGCAGAGTTTTTTCCAGAGATTCGGCTTCGGACACACTGTCGCTCCTTAATCTATGCTTTTCCGAATTAGATCTCAAATTCGATTCGAAATCGATCAGCAGAGACGCATCCCCCTCCACCACTGAAAGAATGTCGTGCCTCACGATGTAGACACCAGAGAAAACTCATGTCACAATAATCAATATATGGGAGTGATTTTCTCCACCGGGAGTCGAGGACAAGATGTTATTGTGCACGTCTGAACTTCTACAGATGGAGCTCTGGTCGAAGTGTTGTGTAATGCTGTGTTGTATCGCTTTGTTGATTCGACAAGGAGCTGACTTGGAAACAGCAGGTGCCCTGAGGTTGGACAAATCGCTTCGCCAAGAGCAACGCGAGAGTTTGAGCTCTGCGGGTCTCGGTCAGCGAGAGCAAAGTACCAGAACCAGGATTGCACGAGGCCAGTCCGGAAACTTCACGATGTCTGAGCCCCAAGATCAGTGAGATTCCTCGGGGGCGAAGCAATCGATAACAGTACCATCCGATACAAAGGGAGAAGCACAACTCGCGGAAAACCGCGAGCGAATATCCCTTCCCCGGAAGGGAAAGAGTTGTGTTTCTCGCTGTTTTCTCATTGCTGATGCTGCTGCTGCTGTCAATGAACTTCAGGTTTTTGATCCTTCGGTGTGGCAAATCTGATGTCTCTGCGTGTCGACTCGATGTGACTACAATCGCGCGTTTTAGTTGTGGAGTGCTTCGAAGCTCTCGATTCGCTCAGTGGCTGGAGGGGTACGGTCGTCCGCAGCTGTTACCTACCAACAAAAAACGAGACCGATAGGTTTCTGCTTTATACATATTTATATATTCTCTCCGTCTTTATTTTTCTTACTTTCTTCCCGCTTTCTTTCTCTTTCGCTCCTCAATCCTTTCGCTCCTCAATCAAATCCTCTCTCTTCGAAAACGATACACCTGCTTTCAAGGCTTAAAATTCTCTTCGTCTGTGTATGATGCTCATCTTTCCTGCTGTTGATGTGTTGTTGCTGATGTCTGTGAGTTTACTGCTAGTTTATTGTTGTCACTGATGATGTGTTCCTCGTTGTATTAAGACAGCCCTCCGTATTTCGCGACGTTACTATGGAGTCTATCGGTTCCTTCCACGTATTCTCAGGAAGCGTTTTCGTTATTTTACGTTGAAGGTCAAAAACGCTGAAATTCGGGGTCGTGGTTCGCCCTGTTTCGAAGAGTCGGCTTTGACAAGCAGCGCGCATTTTTAAAAACAAATTCCACAAGTCTACTTGACGACAGATATCGAGTTCATCGAGAAGGAATCCCAAGACCCTCCTCATCTGCTAGTTTTCGCTGCTGTTGCGGCGTCCGACGAAATATTTAAATGTATATCGTATTTACATGCATCATTATCATCATCATCATGTGGGTATTTGAGGGGGCGCAGCTCTACAAGTAGTGCACTTCATAATCATCGAGAGAATCTTCGTCCAGGCGATTCATAAGTCAGGTGGCCGGTGCACCGATCGCGAAACTCCTTCCTCATGGGAACAAAGAAACGATATGACCCTTTCCATATGCATGTCCTCGTTGCAGTAGATCAAGACGGTCGCCCGATGTGTGCGAGCGTGGTCCGTTCGATTCTAAACAGGGCGACTTGCCTCCGCAAAAGCCAGTACTTCGGAAAAATCCCTGCCGCTCGTTCGGGAAGATCATCATTGATCGCGCCACGGAACGAGCGCGCTCTCTCCGCGCGTCAAGCCCAGTGACGGGGACCCCGGTCAGCGAGAGGCAGAATAGATACAAAAATCGATCCATCGATCGATCGCTCAACGAATAATTCATGAAAGTCTAGCTCTAAGATAGGTCGATCCGTTCGCAGTTCTCGGCTACGATTCGAACCCCTTTACTCAGCCGGCTACAAAATAGTTCGGGACTCCTCCAGCCGCGTGGGGCAAACTCCCGAGTGAGTTGATACGATCGAACGACACATGCAACCTCTACGCAATGTACTATTCGAGCCGATCCTGGCGTCAAAATGACACCCACAATCATATGAGTTTTGCTCAAGATATCGCGCGGCCGGTCGAGTAGTAGTCGACCGTTGAGCGAGCGTCTCAAACTACCAACCAATGAATAGATTTGTCGATCGAGATCATGGCAGATTGATTCGAGTGGAACTGAAGAGTAATTACTCCGAGACTTCGCGCGCGTTTCCTGCGCCAGATAAGCGAGGCATGGGCGCTGCATCACAAGGAGTGTCTTCAGCGTGAGAATTCGTATCAGGGCGCTCTTGGAACTCGTACGAGGGAGAGATTACATCACTCCGAGCGCTACAAGACAAGGAGCGCTAGGATACGAGCGCTCCAAGCTCGCACTTTGCTTATACCTCGCTCTATGGATGGACTTCCGAATGTGCGGGATGGATTGATGACATGACTCAAATGACGAGCTGAGCAGTGTCTGATGGAAGGACTCGCAGGTGTCGGACGAATGGGAAAAAACTACGATGATGATGATATCCTGATGGCATTTACAATGAAAGATGTTATCTCCTCGTAACGGTACCGATTCGCCTCGAAAAATAATATATATATACGCTTATATATATATATATATTTATACCAGCGGAATTCCTTAAGACGATGTGCCGTCGCCGACATCGTGGCAACTCCGTCTCGATGGGTTGGTCTCTTATCCACCAGATAATCATGCCTTCCGAAAAATTATCCGATCGAGCGATGGATCGATTGATGGAGACTGATCGAACTCTGTTTATGGAGGCTCAACGAGCTTAGGTGGCTTTGACTCTCACGCTTCGCAGAAAACGAAGGGTTCCGCCTGCCTGTCAGTCTGTTTCTCCTCTTCGTATGGAAGAAATATTCGGAGTTCTATAGCGACGAAAATCATCACCATATGCCCTGACATACAGCATGTGTATAGATAGATAGTTAGCTGGATAGATAGTTACGCTCTATGAGCATACGGATACATCGACAGTCGTCGTTATCAGCATGATGATCCCCTGAGGTTCTGCTCGACCTGATTCGCTGCCTGGTCGTTTAATGTTTACGCACATGCTCTGCCAAATGAAGAGCTCTGCCCCTACCCCTCCGCGGCAGATTCCTGGATCTGGGAGGATTTTTCGCCCGGCATCACTGACGATTCGCTCCTCATGGCGCGTGAAGACCATCGAGGGCAGCGGCGAACGAGCGCTCGAATGAATCCACGGAGTGGATACTGCAATGGATCCACACAGGACCGATCGATCTCAAATGGGACCCACGACAGCGATAGCAGGAAGCGAAGCCCCAAGCTCGGAGATACCGGTCGACCATCGGGACTTCCCACGGATCCCCGACGGAGACCTGCCCAGCGCTGCTCAGGTTGCTCTTCGGAAATCGAGTCACCCCGTCCTGACAGGAAATAATTCGCACCGCGGGCGAGCGGGCAGCCACGAGGACATCAAACGAGGCGTTCGAGTGCGCCGTACCGGACACAGAAACCGAATTCGGGTACGAAGCTGTGCTTTAGGTGAAGCAGCAGTGAAATTCGAGAAGGAACGCACGACAATCACGATCAGGGCAAATCTAGACGGGGAAGGCCTCGCCGAACAGCAGCCCCGATGGCCTCGGAGCTCCATGTTCCCCATGGGCAATTCCTTTCCATCCGCAGAGGGATTCTCCATTGAGTTCGAAGCAAGGTGCAAGAATGCATAGAGCATGAATCAGAGGGATCTGGCTATAGAGCCAATGCGATCTCTTGACATGTACATTATACAAATCGACTCTAGCGAACTCCACGAAGTCAGAAAAAATTTACAAGAGTTCGACTCGGATTCGTGGAGAACGGGACGACTTGTCAGGCCGCGCCCCGAGACCCTGCGAAGGGATCGGTTTTGTCTGAGCCCCTTCTGGTCACTCACGGACGCTCTCTGTCTCGGTGTGTGTTCCTTCCCTCGCTCTCTCTCCCCTCTCTAGATTATATATATCTATATTCTATATATATATATATCCGTATGTATATATATACTCATTTGGAATCCTAACCTTCTGCCTTTCCAGGCAACAGGAGGAATCTCAGGAGAGTTTGGAAAACGGGTTGACTCATTATCGGGTGGACTCACTCCGCCACAGTGGTAGTAGTCGAGATGCGGAGAGACTTTCCCAATATGACGCTGTGATGCGCGTCAAAATTTTTGGTTCGGTTCTCAGAGAGACGAAATTCGCGAGCGAGCGGTTCATTCTCTCCCCAGTCTCTCTTTGTCTACTCAAGGACAGCGACGCATCAGAGAAATAGATCCACCAGACTCAGGTTTCGGGGAATTGGAGGCCTAGAAGCGAACAACGCACGAACTTTCGGCTTCACAGATCAGAATCAGCAGTTACTCCACGCTGTCTTCTTTTCAACTATAATGTTCTGTGGTGTTCTTTTTTGTCATTTGTTTCGATTCTGTGTTCCGAATGTCGTGATCGCTATTGCTGCTTCTGTGCTGAGTCTGTTTGTGGATCTGTTGCTGCTCTTTCTGTTGTTGTTGTTTGATTCGTCCAAGCTCTCGATACAGTCGAGCTCACTTTTGAGAGTTGCTTTCGCTTGCTGTGATACATTGGTGGCCTTCCTCGTAGGTGTTATGCTGTTTTCGGAATTATTCCTCGAAAACCAGTCGAATGCTTTCGGTGGATCAAATTTTTGCAGCAGCAAAAACGACAGCGAGTGCTGTTGTCGCCGCCTCCAGCGATTCTGATGACCCTTACATGACGAACGACGGCAGCCGATGAGGCACAACAGCGTCCAACGTCAAACGGCCCGTGCTAAGCATCGAATATCGTATCACCAGCTGTGGTACCACCCTAACCAATCTTCATCACAGTAGTCTCTCTCGATCATTGGGTGAATGGAGTGAGTATTTTCTCGATTATCTGACTGGACTCACTCTCACCAACTGACCCTTGTGTATGACCCACTGTGTTTACGATTCTGATATTAACCTGATTCGGAATCGGAGGACTCCTCGCTGCTCGAGCTGCTTGAGGAAGATGTACTGCTGTCACTGTCACTCGAACTACTACTACTAACGCTCAAACGAGGCGCTCCGCCGCCTTGCCCGTCTAGACCAGCCAATTCTGCAAGAGGGATACGAATTAGCTCCGTGGACCAGGAGAGGAGAATCGATATCCGGTAGGATGTCCTCGGTCTCTTATGTTGTGATCAGAGGATGAAAACACTATTCATCGTTCGGCAAGCGCTAACCTTTCTTGGCGGCACCAACTTTCGCCGGCTTGTGGGCACCCGCGTTCGATGTAGCGTTTGCGGCGGCATTCGTAGGCTGAGCTGGTGGTTGCGTTGGAGCCAATTGTCCACTGACGTCTTGCAGTCGCCGTTCCAGCTCCTGTTTCTTGTCTTTGACTGTTTCTTCTTTACTCTTCCCTGTGGAGACGTAAGAGGTATATGAGGCGAAGTGCATCCGTCCTCCTTAGCCTGCAGGAGCGGGCTGGCAACGACCGCCGTCGCAAAATATACAAAATACACGACTAAATTGGCAGGATCGTCGCGAGCCACGGAGGAACGCACGATCGCAGGTGACGACGGGTGAAGGGGGGGGCACTAAGAATCAAATGAATTTAGTCTCTTGGGAGAGGGAGCAAAATCCCCTCGTTGCACATAAGGAGAGGAGGTCTATACTCACGCTTTGTGCCTGTTCCGTAAGGTTTCCGAGGCTTCTTCGCGTTTCTCGCCAGACACGACGCCACGTAGCTCTCGAGCTCGCGGAGTGTCGAAGGTTTGAGCGTCTCGAAATCGATCTCGATTTCGTCCGGATTAGAATCTCGCAACGAAGGTTCTCGCGACTGAATAATATGTACAACTCTACCAAGTTTATCCCCGGGCAGCTTGTTGATGTCGAGAGAAAGTTGTCGTTTCTCGTCGTACGACATCGGCTTGGCGCTGTCCTCGTCCTCGGAGTCGAAGTCGCCACGCGCAACAGCGGTTTCGCGCTTCTGGCGTTTGGGCTTCGCTGTATTGTTGTTATTATTATTGTTATTGTTGTTGGTCGCCTTATTCATTTCGCGTTTGACTCGAGACTTCGACGGACTCTTAGCCTTCTCCTTGTCCTTCTCTTTTTGGGACTTCTTCTTTTTCTTCTTCGAAGAACTTCGGGACTGAGCGGCCAGCGCCGAGATTTCCTCCGTAACCCTTTTCAGCTGATCCTGAAGCTGTTGCAACTTGCGCTCCCGCTCGGCTTCACTGTCGTCGCCGCTATCGCTGTCTTCCGCGCTGGCGACTTCAGATTCAGAAGCCTCGTCCGAGTCACTGCTAGCCGAACTTGCAGGTATGGGTTCATTAGGCATTTTTGTGAGTTTCATTTCGAACACATCTTGAAGTTTGCGAGCCATCTTCACGACTTCATGATCTGCCGGATTATATTTGTAACAGTTCATAAAAACTAGACGAACGTCGTTGCAGAAATCGTCCGGATTCCGATATTCGCGACGCTCCATTTTCGTTTTGATAGTTCCTAAATCCATCGGTTGCGTTATGATGTCGTAGTAGTCGTGGAGACCTAGACCTTCGACATCGACCGCCGTATAGAAAGGCCACGCGTACGCCGAATGTTTCTTCGCGAAAAGCTCCTTGATGATAGAGTTACAGTACTTGAGCTTCTCGGTCATTTTTCCCCGCTTCACTTTACTGTGTTGCGCAGACTCGGGAATATCTTTCACAGGTTTCTTTATGGGTCGTCCGCTTTCCCGTCTCGTCGAAATCTTTTTCGAGTCCGGTGGTCCCGGAATGGGCGTTCCATAAAGATCGTTGGGCGTTTGACCGGGGGTTGTTGTGTCGGCTTTTCGTTTGACGCCTTTCTTCACCTTGTTCGGAGTTACACCGAGGTCTATGGGGGGAACACCGGCTCCTGGCAAAAAGTTAGGATCTGTCGCGGCTGGAACTGCCGGAATGATCGGCTTCACGTCGAGTAGGACGGTGTGGTTCGATGGTGGAACAGGTGGCGGGAGCGTTGACGGAAGGTTGTTTACGCCTCCAGTAATCGAATCCACCGCGGGATTTGTCGCTGTTAGGCATTCGGTCTTGATTTGCGGTGGAGCCTGTTGGGGAGTTTGCTGGTGTTGCTGTGTCGGGTGATGCGGCTGGTGCTGTGCTTGATGGTGTTGCGACTGCTGTTGCGCCGCCGGATGTGGCTTCGGCGGGAGCGGCGGTAGGTGTTGCTGCTGTTGTTGTTGTTGCAGCGCCTTGGGGACCGGGCCAGGCTTCTTCTTGGGGCCTTTCGGACCTTTCGAAGGAGGTAGCGGCAAGACCGTTTCTTCCTGGGGCATTTCAGCGAGCTTCGAAAGAAACAGCTTCTCCAAGGACTGCGCCATCAACACGACGTCTTCGCCCGGCTTGTTGTAAATGTAGCAATTCGAGAACAGCACGTTAAAGTCATTGATGCATTCTTGGGCATCGTAGTAGTAACAATTCTCCAGACGCTTCTTGATGGTGCCGAGGTCCATGGGTACTTTGATGATCTTAAAGTAGTCCGGCAGGTTCAGCTTGATGGTGTCGACCGGCTGCTGGAAAGGCCACGCGAAGTTGTGCTTCCAAACAGCTTTCATGACGTGTTTCAGCATGAACTGGAGTTGATTGGTGTTTCGGTGCGGTCGAGTTCCAGGCTCGGTGGGCGGGTGAACCATCCCGCGGATGGGGACCATCCACTCGGGCTTAACATCCTCATCCTCATTGTTTGCCGGAACAGCGGGCGCACCGTTCCCGGCGGCTGGGGCGGGCGCTGGGATTACGGGAACGGAGTCCGCACCCACCCCCGTCCCGGCCACCGAGTTGCTCACTGACATGGCGGCCGCAGACGGCTACGCCGCGTCAAGCGCCTTCTCCGTGCTATCCTTATCGTTCTGCAAAAAAATCGGCCTCTCATTAGGAAAGAGCTCCTGCGAGGGTTTGGCGATCGATGGGTTGATCGACAATAGAAATATAGATGATCCTTCATGATTCATCCTCTGTGGAGTGAATGTGTGAACGCGGGCAAGTCGACAAAACGTGAGCTCGCCCTTCCCCCGTGTCGACCGCGGTGGGGGGATAGCCGCGATTGCCCTCGAGTGCAGAAAAAAATTCCGTAAGAGCGTCAGCGACGAGGCTTACGAAACCAGCGAAACAGGACATATTGAGTTCAAACAAGGTGCAATTTTTATTCGAATGTTCGCCCAGACTGTGAATGGAGCATCGGGGGAACATGCCCGTCCCGTAAATAAGACCAATAATAATTATTCTCTGCAATGCTCGCCCATAACTGCTCTGTTCGGGCAAACTCAATATGGGCGACTCGAGGAGAGCGTCGTGGTTGCCTCTAATCGATATTTTCCTTCGGAAATTTATCATGCTCTCGGCAGCGAAAATCACCGCCAGTGTTTAGCACTCGCTAATCTCTCTCTGAGAGCGGAACCTCTGGACCAGTCTATCGGAGACAACGGAGCGTTGATTGCAAAGGACGGAGTCCAAGCGGTAAACTGACGACGAAGATCGACCCAAGAGCATGCCGAAGATTAGCTTGCCCGCCAAAACGCCACCAGCCGACGAGCGGCATCGAGCCAAGCGCACCAAACATGCGACAGAGCGAGCGACTGACTGAGCAAGCGAGCCAGTTGAGCGAACGAGCAGGCAACCGGTCAGGGAGCGATCTCTCGACGGATACGACGGCTCGGGGCAGCACTCCAATCGATTTGGCGCCAAACTTCTCAGAGACCATCGAAACACAGCGAAAAATATTTTTCCCAGCCTTTCCGCTCACCTACTCAAATTCATCACCCCCACCTATCACGGGGAGTGTTGGAGCGTGCGATCCGTAGGATCAAACCAGGCTCCGGGAAACGCCTCAATGAGGGATTCCGGTCGGAGTACGAGCTCCGTTTTCGAATCCCTCCGGTGTCTCCTGCGACGGTCGTGTTCACGACAACACAGCTATCGAGAGGAAACACGCTCCCCCAATCGTGCGATCAAGAATTAGCACTGGCACCACCATCGCAACAGATCCAACGACGGTAGTCTGGCGCGTGTCGAGTCCGACGAGCCCCAACAACTGAGCTTGTGTTTACTGCCCGGAATGGGAAGAAATTTCCCAACCGAAGTGGACTAGAGATCCCGAGAGTTGGCTGCGCTTGTTCCAGCGCTCTCCTCGTCGCTGTCGGCGCAGTTGCGCATCCGACGCTTGAGCCGAGGAAACCTCGCACAGTCCGAGCACAGGACTCAATTTGCACTAACGTTGCCTCGCGATTCAAACTCCGGACACTCGCACGAAAACTGCTCGCTACCTAGATTGTTCGACTGGCTGGTATTCGTTGGCTCACAGAAAGTCTCGATGGCTAAATGGCTGCTCGCTTGGGCGGTTGGTGAGCTCACTGTCTGGCTGGTAGGAGGCGGGCAGTCCGCTGTAATGGAGCTCGCTGTCCACAAAACAACCTCTACGTCAAACCCTGTCGAACGACGATAGGAGGACGACCAACGAGAAAGCCACCGGATTGAACTCTTGGCCAGGTAAACAAGCACTCAGCCAGGCTGCCAGGCAAGCAAGCAGCTAAAAGAAACAGACACACTCACTCATTCGCTCGCTAGCTCACACAGACACAAGCTTGACTCACTCCCCAACCGAATACGTCGACGCAATTCGCATGAACTTCGTGCATTTGTTCACCTACTCAATTCCAGCATAATCCTGGCATCACAGCGATCCTAAGGAATGCTCGGTCGGGACATATTTCGGTCGATTTGTGCTATTTTGAGCCAAGTATTTCTTGATTGCTAGCCGGCCGACGGTTGCACCCTTTGTTCAGGGCCTAGAACATCGAACTCGAAACTAATTCGACTTCGTACCGTGTTGAAAGGGTCCGACTATATCCGGGGATCCGTTTCGACGGTCACAAGTCACTTTTTGCACATGATTTTCCCGGATATAACCTGCTTGAAGAATGAATAGCACAGACAGCGTCTAACGGACATTTGTTGGCTCTCCGTCCGACGCTCTTAGTTGGAAGCGGACGCCATTGCACCTCTGTCATTGGTCCGATTGGAGTCACGTGACCGAAACGACGCTAGCGCCACCCGCGGATTTTGTGCGAAAGCACGCGCGCCAGAAGTCGAAAATACATTAAGAGCTGAGGAAAGCGACCGCGGGACATTCGAAAACGGAGATGGAATCTACAAGTCACATTCAGTGCGATATTTTCCCGGGGTAATGAAGCTGTGTCCAAAGTGCAACGGTGTGCTCGAACTAGAACACTAAACTTGTACACATGTTCTGAATACGAGCTGACTTCAGGCTAATATCCCCGGAGAACGTATCCCCGAGCAGACCATTACTACGGAAGTTTGTCGGAGATACACTCGGCCTGCCTCACAGTGCGGAGCCCGACATGGACTGACCTCACGATAGAGTCCCCCGCGGAAGAATTATCGACTATTCCGCATGCACCCGTTACCGCATCCGGATCGTGCTCATCTTTTTTGGAAACGAAGTACTAATCTTCCCTTCCATTCGGCTCTCTAAACCCGCTGTATGTTTCAAAAAGGCCCGCCGAAATCTTATCGATGGATCATCAAACAAGCAGAATAACATGAGGAGAGGAAAACACGTCGCCGATCTGGTCGCTGGGTGGAACGGCAGAGAAACGAAATGGAACGTTCAGAGATCCTTTGGCCAAGAAAGAATGTAACGGAGTTGAAGCTCGGACGGCACCCTTTTCGACATCTTCATTCTTTAATGCAGCTCCCCCTCCCCCATTACCATCGGGAACCCTGTGGTACTTGGGTGCGCGACTATAGTCTCGAACGTTCTGATCCAGGAACTCCGAGCCATTCTTGGGTGCTCATCGGGTGACGCGTAGCCTCTTCCGTGAACATGGCTGCCTTCACCGATGTGGAATATTTTCTCTTCTATCCATAGTTGACGTCGATATAATCTTCGCCGACTCATCTTTTGCATATTCTCAGGGAGGCTAGAATTCACGGAGTGCGTTGAGCAGGGAGCCGCTGAATAGCCTTGAAAGACCGTGTTGTGGGTGTACTCCCCCGGAGACGGCTCCGGTTGCAAGATATTCGCAACTCGTGCAGCTTGTCTCCCCCAAGATTGAGGTTTCACTAATGCGTTTCTCTCGGGGGGCGCAGCAGATTCCTGGTACTGTCAGTATCAAGGACTGAGAGGAACCCCCTCGGAGCAGCAGCTTTCGTGAATCCGGTGGTTCTGGAGGAAAACAAGGTCGAGCGAGTCTCGAGATCACGGACGCTCGTAGGAATTTCGCTCCGCTCAGCCCTGAGTTGAGATCCATCAAGAAAATCCCGAGTATTCGTATCCGCGCCCCTGACCCATCATCCAGGTCGAGCGGAGCCTCTTCCTCCCTTGAGAGACGAGACGGACCGGAAATTTCAAAAAAGCCCTGTGAGAGGAAACTTGCGCAGGGGGCATCGAGGAACGGTCAGAGAGTAGTCAGGCGTTCAACGGTCAGCAAACGCTGAATTCACGGATCAATCCTCACGTTGATCGCCCGACAGCATTCTTCTCCTCGAGATTCCGATTGGCTGGATGCTTTCTTATTTTTGCCTGGATGTCGGCGAGAGTCGGCGACGTATCTTCCACCTCTAAATAATTCCATTGATACTTTATTTCGAGATGCCGGATCTTGAATCTTTTATGATTTTGAACCGCTGCCAGCTCCGTGGAGATCGCCCGGAGTTTGGCCGTCGGGATTCAGTAAATCAGTGACTCGAGGGAGCGATCCCCCTCACTGAATTCCAGTGCATCAAATGATTATTCTTTGGATCTGAGAGAAAACTCCGGAGGGCCTTCCTCGGCCTTCCGCCACCATTCGTCAATGCGGAGTCAGCCGGATCCGCGCGATCCTCCCTGAAGGGATCTCCAGGGGTATTCTCGGTGTCCGGATGAATCGTATCCTACATTGTCTCGATATTCGATGTCGATTCACGACGGTTTCCGACCTCGTTCCAACAGGCAAATGTTACTACAGCCCAAAACATCGAAATGACTCTCACATCCACATAGGGATTTCGGCCGCGACATGGAGTCGGCAGAGAGGTTCACAAGTGGGGCTGAGACGCTCAATGGGTAGGCCTGACGGGGAAACTCGTGACGCCTTCCTATTCGTGACCAGCCGCCGGCTCGATTCTTCTTCAGAGGAGAGCCAAGACGAAGAAGGAAACCGAGGGCTTGGAGCGATGGCGCGATCAAAATTTCCCTCTCTAGGGCGTCAAGGCCCTCGACCTCTTTTCCACACGCGATGGACTACGAAGTGGATGATCGCAGCATAGCATCGGCTCCCGTATGTTCGCCAACCTGGAGCCCCATCAGGGGCGACTTATGGCGTTGAGAGGTTCCGGCAAGCAGGCATCCGGCTTCGTCGCTTTACAACTCAGGAGCCGATATACTCTTCTTATACTGATCAGACGTGTCGGAGATATTAGGGAGTCGCAAAAAAGTTCAGTTCCATTCTCCTGATTCTCAACGGGGGTGGGGAGGTAGCCTGCGAGCTACTCGAGCTACTACTATTCCCTAGTAAGAGCTCCGAGAGAAGATCCAAACTGTACCGATTCGAATGACGAAGGAAGTCTTTCCACACCCGAGGGTTCGCAGAGATGAGTTGGAGCACTGAAATGGACCAATTGTCGCACGATTCTTCCCGACTTCTGCACTGCGAACGGACCGCCCCTATGAACAGGGGAATCAGCACTCGTTCGAGACCATGGAATGCCTGCCGCAATCTAAGCGCTCCGACACTAATCCTTTACATGTCCCCATAATTGACGCTCAGAGCGGATCATCCGGGATGGTGCGTCCCGATCTATCAGACTTCCTCGGCAGTCTCTTGATCAAAATCGACCTGGAGTAGAATCATCCGACGATAATCATCGCAGCTCATGATTCGAATACGGACTTGGATAGATAAGCGGGCACTAGGGCAGCTTCGCTGGTTTTGCAGGAGCCTTCTCCGCGCTGGATACCCGCTTGTATATGCGGAAATTCCCCCGACAGAATGATGACAGCCAATGCGACCCTGTTGCAGGTGAATTTCTGTTGGGCGACTCATCCTCGATCGAAATTATCATGGAAAAGCACCAATGGAGGCCGCTCGCGAGGCCCCTCCACCACGTCCACCCCCACACGGTGCGCGGACGAAACATCATCATCCGAGCCGGAAAGATGTAGAGCCCGGTATTCATGATCCTCACTGCATTCATAAGAATGTCTAAAGCACTCACAGACCTGCATTGGCATTCCGGGAGCGTTTGCCGAGGAGTCTTTTTCACTCCAATGCGTCGAGTCTCGCTCAGAGTCCAGTGAGCTCGAACGCGGCCAAAGTCTTAAAATGCATCCATTCTTCGAGCACGTCGTCATCCACATGGGTCTCTCTCTCCCCCTAGCAGCAGTCGCACAATGTTATTGTTGTGTTCTTCTTGAGGGTTCCACGATTTTCCCCGATGTGGTTTTCGGGACCATGAGGAATACATTGGGAACGATCGACCCTTAAGTCTGCGTCTCGATGAGAACATCAACGAGCCCCCGAACCCGCGGTATATTGTGAGTGGTGAGTTCCATCGTTCCTGCTTCTCATTGCTTAGCTTCCTGATCTTCACCGCGCGAGAAGGAAGCCGGGTGCGCGATATGAGCATGCGGTCGAAGAGCGAAGACGGCCTAGCCTTCGGAGATGTAGAATCTTCACATCTTCTAGCAGAGTCTACACAGAGCATATAAGGACAATATTCTCTTTTGACGTTCGATGGGGTGTATTCGCCAGACGCTAGCGAGCTCTGAGAATCGTTGTGAACCGGAGTCCCCTTCCTCGATGCCCTACGCATACTCAAATGCCATTATGGTGTCTCTCTCGTATCCCAATTCGCTCTCGTCGGACTGGGAAGTCGAAACCGAGCGTTCATGTTTCGAATCTAATTGCGTTCCCGACCAAGAACACCCAAGCCTCCTTCCATTCACAACCTTCTCCCTTCGGAAGGTCCTCGCTCCTGCCGCATCCGCCCTGAACTAGAGAATAAATGAGCGGCACATAAACAGCCTTTGTGACGGAGAATCTCGATAACATTCCCTCATCCTTCCAGAAGATGTTACGTCTCACCCGTGCGTCGGGGTGGACCGAGAAGCCGATTAAGCGCTTCCTATGCAGACGTATCGAGATGAGATCCTCTTCAACCTCAGTGCAGGCTTCACCTCTGATACTGGATGAAGCTGATGGCGAAACATCTGGAGAGGGACCTCTCCAGATAGGAGTGGGTGCCCGATACAGTCTCCGTCACCCTGACCATCTTAGGAAGGCATGTTTATATATGTTTCTTTAAATGTCTGCGCTCTATGAAGGCAATCCTTTTCAACGTCTACTAAAATCTGGAATTCGTACCTTGCAGGTCGTCCGGGAGCACAGAATAGAGCTGCAGAGAACCTACGACTTGACGAAGACCCCCGGAGTAGCCTTGGTGATACCCAACAATTTCCGATTCTTCGCGGTCGATGAGAGCCCCGGGACGGCGGCTCTCGAGACAGTCTCGAAATCTAAACCAGAAAAAAAGAAGAATCAAAGGACTCCAAATACGCAAATGACGTATGAGGCTCGGGTCAGTTAAGCCCCCTTACTCCTTGGCGTTATTTCACTCTTAATCCGGATTCCTCCACATTGCTAGGGATGATCATTTTTCCCGGCAAATATTGCTGGAATCGCGGCGTGCCGCGGTCTCTGTTCGTGACCTCCGGAATGTCTCTTAGCGGGGCCAAGACCTGTCGGGTTTTCGAACTCGTGTCCTAGCTCGAGCTATACCAGGGTCTCGCCGAGCCTCATTGAGGTTCGGATCAGGGAGAAGTTTCTCCGAGGCTATTTATAGAAGATAAGGGTAAAGGACTCAAGAATAGGAATGACCGAATTCTGGAATCCCGAATAAGAGTCGCTTGTTTCCGAGAATAATGCTCTACGCGAATTTCGCGGTCGCCGAGAAAAATTCTCATTCCTACTCGTAGGGCATATATCTGAACGGAGACAATCAATGCTCATCCGAATTCTCGATTGCAGAGGGAGCATCTGATTTCTTCGCTGAGGACCTACGTTGAGGTCTCGGTGAATGTCGGTCAACATGCGCGGGCGCTTCGAGTAATCAATCATTACCGGCTCGGCATGTGGAGACTCAACCAGCAAATGGGCATGGGATATTCGAAAGCGTTCCCTGTCAGCATCTACAATTTGATCCTGTCGGGCTGCTCTGTCAACGGGAGCGACAAACTCGCTAAGGATGTCAAACAGATGATGATCAAAGACAACGTCGAGCCAGACGCCTCAACGTACGCCTACCTCCTGGCCGCCGCTCAACACCGAGACCACTATGTCGGTCTCATCAAAGAAATGTCTGAAGCCGGGATCACAACCGAAGACCTCTTCCGCGAAACATCACTCACGAGTGTCCAACTCGCGAGTCTCGTTCAAAATATCCGCTGCTGGAGCGACCAATACGCTTTCGACGTTCCGGCAGCCCGCTTCCCAACGAACGAAAGTTCTGTCACCGCTCATTTGAAGAGCATTAGACAGCCCTCATCAGAAGAAAGATTCTTCGATCCCAAACTTCTTCGAGCGAAGAGCATGGCACAAAGGAAGCGAGAACTGGCCGGAATGGTCACCGTCAAATCTATAGCCGCCCCTGACAAGCCTTCCCAGCGTGTTGTTTTCTTGAGGAAGCAAATAACTAAATGTGAAAACGAATGGAGGAGAGAATTGAATGAGCTGTACGGCAGGTGTATCGAAAAACTCTCGAGGGAAGCACTGCATACGAACGTCATGTGCGTTCACCCGTATGTGTTGGCTTTAGACAAGTCGAGGCTGGTGAACTTGTTGCTGCAAGAGATGCGAGCGTTCGCATTGGCTCCTGGAAGCTCCAGTGTGAGCTTCACCACCGTCGCGGCTCGGCTGGGCCAAAAAGTAGAACTTCTGTGAGTATTTCGCAAGTCTGTCACGTTTCGCAAAACTATGATCTACTCAGCATGGATTCAGACGAGCAGGGCTTGGTTCTCTGCGGGTAAAATATATGATTCGCTCTCCGCAGATACAACATTCGATCAAAGGTCAACGGAGGTGTCTCCGATGCCATCACCCGACTCTATGGCGACTACCTCGAGCGTTCCGGCAGCCAGACCACGACTCCCGGTCGTGAAATCTGGCAATCGCTGATAGCCAAGAACCCTCAGCTCGCCCCCTGCATCGGGAACCTACAAGAAAACCCTTGGACACGATCGACACAAGTTAGCGTTGGCCGGTTCCTGTATTCAATGCTTCGGCAACTGAAGGTCGATGTCAACATTATGAAGCCCAACTGTGATAAGAGGAAACTGATACATGCGCTTTATTCTGTCTACCGGACGAACTCCGCTCGGAAACACGAAGAGCTGAAGGCTCATGAAGTTTTAAATACGCTCTACTCGAAGGCGGAAATCGAGAATCTTCATTTCGACGCGACCTCCCTCCCGATGTTGTGTCCGCCGAAACCTTGGACCAGACCCGAAGATACGCCTTATATGATTTCCGGGGTGCCTTTGATCCGGATTCCGTCTGAATTCAGTAACAAGCAGATGTCCGCCATTAGAGAGTCGCCCCCAGAGAACATCTATCCAGCTCTGGATGCCCTGAACGCTCTGGGTCGCACACCATGGAAGGTGAACAACCCGATCCTGGACGTATTGACAACGGTTTTCCTCGGAGAAGGGGACATGGAACTTTCAGTACCGAAAAAACCGAGCAACATGACCAAGCCCGAGCCGAGCGCCCACAAAGCACGTGTTCAAGCCACGCTATCGGAACGCAAGAAAGCCGAGAAGTACGCCTTATGGTGCGACACGCTCCATAAACTATCCATTGCTCACCATTTCAAGAACGATGTGTTCTTCTTCCCGCACAACATGGACTTCTGCGGTAGAGCTCACCCGTGCCCTGCCCAGTTCCATCATCTGGGTGATGATCTGATCCGGGGACTTCTTCTGTTCGCGGAAGGGAAACCCCTAGGAGAGAGAGGGCTATGGTGGTTAAAACTCCACCTCATGAAGCTGACCGGATTCAGCAACGAGCGGTCTGCGGAGGAGCGCGTCGCTTACGCGGACGGAATCATGGACGACATACTCGACTCGGCACGAAACCCTCTGAACGGCCGGAAGTGGTGGCAGACTTCAGAGGATCCGTGGCAGACGCTGGCCGCCTGCAAAGAGATCGCCAACGCTCTCGCGTCACCGAAACCTGAGGAGTACATCTGTCATCTACCGATCCATCACGACGGCCACTACGGGGGCCCTCAGCATTACGCTGCGTTCGGGAACGATTCCGAGGGAGCGCTGCCGGCGGACACGATCCCCATGGAGACTCCTCGAGACGTGTACAGTAAAGTCGCAGATGCGGTCGAGTCACTGCGCGAGGCCGAGAGCGCGGCCGGCAGCGATATCGCTAGCGTCTTGAAGGGTTTCATCAAGGGAAAAACTGTGAAAGAGAGCGTGAAGACGGCGGTGTACGGGGAAAACCGTTTCGGTGCATATATCCAGATTCTACGGAAGCTTCAAGTCGAAGGTTTTCCGTCATCACGGGCGAACTCCGCGGCTCATTATCTCGCAATCAAAACTTTCGAGTCTGTGGAGAAGACGCTCACGAAAACCAAAGGAATACAGAGCTGGTTCACTCAATGTGCCAAAGCCATTCTGGCCGCAACGGAAAAACCCGTACAATGGACGACCCCTCTAGGACTTCCGGTTGTGCAACCGTACTTCCGGACCTCTATGCACAAATGTCTTGTCGAGAGCGACAATAGCGCCCATTCGATTCTCATACCGACTTCGGAGCCGCAGGCAACGAGGCAGAAAAACGGTTTCCCTCCAAATTTCCTGCACAGTTTGGACTCGACGCACATGATGTTGACTGCGTTGTACTGCGAGGCCGCCGGTATCAGATTTGTTCCTGTCCACGACTGCTTTTGGACTCACGTGTCCTCAGTGGAAGAGCTGAGCAAGATATGTCAGCAGCAGTTCGTGGCTCTCCACAGTGAGCCCCTTTTGGAGAAAATTGCGGCGGAGTTCGGTAGACGGTATATTTCCAAAGAGGCAAAGCAATCAGCAGACCCAGTCAAGCTAGCCGCCGTCAAGGAACTTCAAGGCCTCTTAGACAAAATCCCAACGCGTTCATGGGCCGTGCAGTAGAAAAGTGGGTAGATTCAGGATGCGCGCTCCCGTTCTAAATAATGGATTCGAGAAATTGATGCTCTGACCGAGTCGAATGTGGACACGCTCGTCGCAGCAAGATTGACGGATTCCCCTAGCCTCGAACGGATATCCCCGCATATTCAGCCAGCGTGCCGCATTCTTCTACTGATTGCAAGGAGCCCACAGCTCAGAGGAGATCCACCGTGCCGGGTGTTCGATAGGCCCTCGCGCATCATTGAATTGCTCCGTCCAGACAGCGACAATTTCGTGCTTTTGATATGTCAGGCGATATCATGACGGACACGGCAGCTGAGAATACATGACCATGCGGCGCGAACCAACTCGGACCCCTCGAGCGTGCCTGCTGCATCCGAGACGAGGAATAAAATGCAGGGGTCATCTCAGGGCTTGGATTCGAGAATCAAAACCTCGACCGTTCCTCGCCACGGCACAGACTTGCTCCTCGGCCAGTGCGGAGGGTATGGCTCCTGATATAGACGGAATGCAGCTCGAGTCGGAAGTCGTCGACTTAGATACGGTAGATGGATTGTGAACTGGAATGGCCTACATGGACGATTTGATGATCCTTCGCAATTCCGGCGGAGACCGGGCGGGGGCTTCCCTGGTGACGTCGCCGAACGATGGCGGTTACCGAGCTGAACTGACGCCGGCTGTTCCACTGTTTCCCGCTGTGATTGAAGGAAGAGCGAACTCCGAACATCTCTATCTAAGCGGGACGTGGTCCGCAGCGAACGCCAACCAGTCGCGCACAAATGGACTCGAGACGAATTATATGCCCACGCAAAAGAATTCAGTAAATCTCGTACAGGAACCTCGCTCAGCACGCGGGAAGTCGAATCATTTCTTCAGTCTTGTCTAATGTGATCCTTGTCTATGAAATCTAACGATACTTGAAAGAAATGCAGGTGTGAATGTATCGTCAGGAGAGCTCCCATTCCCCCAACATATTAGCCAATACTTCGGCTAAGCCGGCCGGGAAGGAAGCCATCCATATTTTCGTTGATTATTGCATAATCCGATTTCAATAAAAAAAACAGCTTTTCCGTCGGAATCAGTCCTGAATTCGTCCTGTGATGAAGGAGCCTGGTTGACCGAGGCTTGATCGGTGAGGCTCTGCAAGTATCGTGGAAGGATCTTGCGCACTCGAACCGTGGGAGTTTAGCCCATCATCATGTCACCTGTACACAAACGGAAGCAGCGAAGCGGAGTAGCGCCCGGAGCGACGATCCGAAATTCCTCATGATCTAGCCACCCTCTTGGGAATTCCCCCGATGCTGAATATCTTGTCGGGAAAAATTCTATCCCAACGCAAAGATTCATACGACACCGTTAAGGAGTGAGCCCGGGTGGACCGATCCCCAATACCCCTTTTAATGAGGTGAACCAGTGGTCTACTGGAAAGCTTCCTACCACTCTAGCCATGGCGGTCCGGCCTGCGATTTCTCGGGAACCTCCGCGGGTACGGGAAACTCGATACTGGAACGACACGAGCGAACGCCCGGATTCTCAAGAGGGATCATCGTCATCATCAATATCGTCTGCGTTCTCTCATCGACGATTTTTGATTTGATCTTGACCTCGCTCTATTCGTGCAGCAGGATTCGCGCAAGCCCATCGAGTTTTGAGACTGAGGTGCATCTGGCCATCCGTGCCACAATAGGGAAGCTCAGCCGTACTGCAGATTAGCCGTATATTGACCGATTTGCAGCAGGACTGGGATCTGTGTTACTGTGTACCCGGGAGGGAGGGAGGAGGCCACACACTGTTATTGTTGTGGTCGTCGTGTGGCTCTCTGTGTGTGCCTCGGGTACCGAACTTTTTTCCCGAGTCGCTTACCGGGACTATGAATGGGACAGTTGAGTGACGGTTGTGGATCAACCCTCGGTGGTCGATGAAAACGCTCATGAGTTATCGGGCTCCCAAGGCAGGATAAGCAGTAAGTGTTACTTTTTTTCCCATTCGGGGTACGCGCAACACCGCGAAGAGAAAGCGGGTGCGCGGAACCCATGTGGTCTCCGAGGTCAGAGACTTTTCTGGCCTCCGAGAGTGCTCCCGGGAGGCAGATCAGGCAGAACAATCCTCCAGAGGGAGAACGTTCGCCATCGTCAGTGTCATAAGTTATAAGGCTCCGATGGAATGTCCAGCCCGGATAGCTCCTTTGATTATCCCCGATCCGAGCGTTTTTCCTTGACACTCGTACATCCGAATCCAGATCAGTGACGAGGTTTGTTCTCTCTCTGCAGAAGATGTTGCGCCTCAGCCGGATGTCGAGATTGGAACGGAGTCCGATAAAGGGCCTCGTCTGCCGTCGCCTGAACGTAAAATATTCCTCAACGACTACGCGAGTATCACCCCAGATCGCGTCCAATGCTGCGGGTGAAAGATCTCGGAGAGAACCTGTCCAGATCGGAGTGGGCGCTCGCTTCAACCTGAATAGTCCCGCTGATCTCAGAGAGGTGTGTAAATCATTCAAACTGCATCTTCCCTATGATGAGCTCGAGCACGTCAATAAGTGTCCAGGGCTTCCGGATCAGTCAGAGAATTCACTCGCCGAAAATGGCGCTGTAAGAGATACGTCCTGACGAAGTCGTCGTCCAGGTTCCGCCATCCCTGGTTCAGAGCCTTCACTCCTTCACAGATCATCGAGGAGCACAGCACAGAACTCCGGAAAACTTATGAGCTGCACGAGAGTCCCGAGATATCTTTGATGATCCCTGGCAATTTTCAATTCACTCCATCCGAGGAAGAGTCAGCAAAGGCGGTGACAACTGGAAAAGCTCCGAGAGGCCGACCGCCGCAGAAAAAGAAGGAAGTCGACCTCTTGGCGAGGGAGAAAGATGCGTACCTGGCGCAGGTCAGTTCTCCTCCTCGCAATTTACCTGAATTGTATTCCTCGTTAATGGTCCAGCGACGGATCAGGGAGGCTCTCTGTCGATGACAGTGTCTTTGAGTTTGCTCTCTCGGAATGAAAATGTCCGTCCATGGACCGTTTCGCTCGAGGACCCGTCGGCGTCCTTTCCCCCCTCGAACCTAAAACCGTGAATTGCAGACTCAGCCAGCTCCCCAAGAGGAATCGTAACTGATTTCATTCGATTTTACAGCGGGATCACATCATTTCTTCACTGAGGAGCTACGTTGACGTTTCGGTGAATGTCGGCCAACACGAGTGCGCCCTTCAAGCGGTCAACTATTATCGGTGGTACCTGAGAAAACTGCATCACCGTTCAGGTTTGCGGACTCCGGAACCGTTCCCCGTTGATATCTACAATTTAATCCTGTCGGGATGCGTCATCAGCGGTGACTACAAACTCGCGACGGATATCAAACAGATCATGACGTGGGACAACGTCAACATGGACGCAACTACTTACGCCTACCTCCTGGCCACTGCCAAAGGCCAGGACGATCGAAACGGTCTCTTGAAAAGGATGTCAGATGCGAGAATCACGCTGGAAGACCTCTTCCGGAAAACCCCGCTCACGAATGTGCAGCTTGCGAAACTCGTGCAGAACATCCGCTGTTGTAGCGACAACCACGATTTCGAAGTTCCGCCAGCCCACTTTCCCCCCAACAAAAGTTGCTCGATGATCGCCGATTTGAGCAAGTCCAGACAGCCCTTTTCCGGAGATCGATTTTTCACCCACGAAGTCTTGCGACAGAAGAGCAACGAACAGAAAAGTCGAGAGCTGGCTGGGACGGTCAGCGTGAAATCGATCGCTGCAATCGGCAAGCCCTCTCCGCGCGTCACGTTCCTGAGGAAGCAGATAGCCAAATGTGAAAACGAGTGGAGGAGAGAACTGAATGAACTCTTCATCAGATATCTCGAAAACGCCACGAATGAGGCATTGCATCTGCACCATATGTCTGTATATCCGTATCTGTTGGCTTTAGACAGGTCTACGTTCGTTGATTTGATGGTACAGGAGATGCGGGCCCATGCGATGGCGTCAGAGAGCTTCAGTATGAGCTTCACCTACCTCGCTTCTCAATTGGGCCAAAGAGTAGAAGTTCTGTGAGTGCCCAACATATGTACATACATGGTTTCCGTATACATCATGACTCATGACTCATTAGGAGGATAATATAAGCCCGGGCCAGATGATGGCGTCTCCTTGTGCCCCACTCCTAACTCGGTGAACCATCTTCCACAGGTACCACATCCGAACCAAAATCAAAGGTGGTGTTTTCGACGCCTTCAGCCAAATATATGACCAATATCTCGCAGAGTTCGATCCGAGACACACCACTCCTAGTCGCGAAATCTGGCAATCGTTGATCAGCAAGAACCCTCAGCTGGCCCCGTGTATCGAGAATCATCAGGATCTCCCGTGGACGAAATCGACGCGAGTCAGCGTCGGCCGATTTCTCTACTCAATACTTCGACAACTGAAAGTTGATGTCAACATCCTGAAGCCTAATTGTGAGAAGAGGGAACTGATGAATGCTCTGTATTCTGTCTACCGGGCAAACTCCGAGAGGAAGCACGAGGAGCTGAGAGCCCATAAGATTCTCAGCTCCTTGTACTCGAAGGCGGAAATTGAAGACCTCCGATTCGACGCCTCGTTCCTCCCGATGCTGTGTCCCCCAAAACCTTGGACCAGACCTAAGGACACGCCATTTCTGATTTCCGGCGTACCATTGATACGGGTCATGCCCGACGTCGGCGAGCATCAGATGTGTGCCATCAACGACGTTCCCCCCGAAAATATTTATCCGGCCCTGGACGCCCTCAACGTTCTGAGCCGCACACCGTGGCGGGTGAACGTTCCTGTCCTAGACGTTCTGACGACGGTTTTCCTGGGGGAAGGTGATAAAAAACTCTCAGTGCCGAAGGACCCTGCGAAAATGGTTCAGCCCGACATTGCCGCTATCAGGGCTCAATCGAAATCGGCGGCACGGACAAGAGCTATGCAGTTCAGACGTGAAAAAGCTGAAAATTTCTCGCTATGGTGCGACATGCTGTATAAATTATCTATCGCACACCATTTCAAGCACGATGTATTCTTCTTCCCGCACAATATGGATTTCCGCGGCAGAGTCTATCCGTGTCCTCCACACTTCCATCATCTGGGAGGTGACGTGATCCGGGGACTCCTCCTCTTCGCTGAGGGAAAACCTCTTGGAGAAAAGGGATTGTGGTGGTTGAAACTCCATCTAATCAATCTAACGGGATTCAAGAAGAGACGACCTATCGAGGAACGGGTCGCATTCGCGGACGAAATAATGGACGAGATCCTCGACTCGGCACAAAACCCTCTGACCGGCCGGAAATGGTGGCAGACTTCAGACGATCCTTGGCAAACGTTAGCCGCCTGCAAGGAAATCGCCAACGCCCTCGCGTCACCGGAACCCGAGAAATATATCTGTCATCTACCGATCCATCAGGACGGCAGCTGCAATGGTCTTCAGCATTATGCCGCACTGGGGAGAGATCTCGAGGGAGCGCTACAGGTGAACTTGGTTCCCATGGACGCGCCCCAAGACGTATACAGTGGGATAGCAGATACGGTCGAGTCTCTGCGTCAGATCGACAGCGCGAATGGAGTCGAGATCGCTACAATCCTGGAAGGTCACATAAAAAGAAAAGTCGTGAAGCAGACCGTCATGACGGTCGTTTACGGTGTGACTCGATTTGGAGCCCACCTGCAAATCCTCCGACAGCTCCAAGATCTCGAGGGCTTCCCGTCAACGCGCGCGAACTCCGCAGCTCATTACCTTGTTGGTAAGACTTTCGAAAGTCTGGAGAAAATGTTCTCAGCTACCAGAGAAATTCAAAATTGGTTCACGCGGTGTGCTCGGACCATCTGTTTCGCTACGGATAGACCCGTTCAATGGACGACCCCCCTGGGGCTCCCGGTCGTTCAACCGTACTTCCTGACCTCTACGCAAAGATGCGTAGTTGAAAGCGACAGGGGCAAGCACTCGATCGTCACACAGAACTCGAAGCCGCACGGAATGAAACAGAAGAACGGGTTCCCCCCGAACTATATTCACAGTCTAGACTCGTCGCACATGATGTTAACGGCAATGTACTGCGAGGCAGCCGGCATTAATTTTGTTTCGGTCCACGACTGCTTTTGGACTCACGTGTCCACAGTCGATGAGATGAGCAGGATTTGTCGGGAGCAGTTTGTGAGTCTCCACAGCGAACCTCTACTCGAGCGACTTTCTGATGAATTCCGTCGAGCGTATATTCACGGGAAAACACATAAAATTCCCGATCAAGCCAAGGCTGCAGCGTTCCGGGAACTCCAGACGCTCGTGGAGGCGATTCCGGACAAGGGCGAATATGATTTAAAAAGCGTTCTCAAATCCAGATATTTCTTCAGCTGATGGAGTCCTTCAATCGGGTCTCGAGTCTTCCGGCCGGCCTCTGGGTCTGTGTTTTTTTTTCAAGTCTCAAGTGCCTAAACTTTCATGTCTATAGTCACAGGTGAGAACCGGTTCAAATGTTGTATTTTGTTAAGACGGAAAAGAGTAGGAACGAAGAAAATGTAGGATATACGCTAATAAAGTCATTCACCGATCCATGTGTGTTCATTCGATTCTTTTCCCTGCGTCTCTCTATCCAATCATCACTCTCTCACTATCTCGGTCTCCCTCTTCCTACCCATAGATCCTGCAATCGTTCGAGATTCGTGCAGCCGCCAGGATTTCTGCAGGAGTCAATCGAGTTGACACGAGCTTCAACCTTTTCAAGAATCTTCGGTGCGACCCGCGAATTTATTGAAGAACGAACATGGACAACGATATATTTATCCCGTACCTCGTCCCATCAATCAGAATTTTTTCTCCATTGCGACATTCCTGTATTGTCCGAAGAGTTTATCTTCAAATGCTCCACCGAATGTGTTGCAGCGTTCCATGACGTGTGGGCAGAAAACTTGAGTGTTTTTTCGCTTACCATTGTTGAAGCATTTAGCGCACGATGTGACGAAAGGCACCACATGAGAGGGCTGAAATACTTTGGGCCTTCCTGGGCACGTTCGAATGTCGACAGAACGAGTCGTGGTATAAGGTCTGAAGGTGCTCTCCAGTCCGGTAGAATGCGAAGGAGTACTGTATCGCTCGTTGATGTCGAGAACTCTCGATGATGGGGGTGATGCTCTATGCAAATCGTCGTATGCCGACGATGGTGACATCGCTGATGAGCCCAAGTAGCGCCCGCTCCCAAGCACTGATGGAGTTTTTTCTCGTGATGGCGTAGAATCTAAGTAAACGCTTAGTGAAGGTGCTGTGTTTCGTATCAACTTCCGAGCGTAGAAATCTGCGTCGATATCACTACTGGTCAAATGGGTTCGGCCCGTGCATGTCGGCTCCGGACTCCGAGCACGAGGTCTTTGGACGCTTCCCGTGAGATGCACATAACGGTATTCTGCCATAGCGAACTAGGCCCTTGTTTTGCGAGAAGGGAGTCTAAGCCGGAGGCCAGTTATGAGAGCGGCCCTAGGTGGGAGTATTTTTGGCTGGAAAGAGAAACTAGCCGATCTAAACTGTCACCCACGTCGGAGAGGAGAGGCTCGCTTCTCGCAGGCTTCTGAGGGAGGTCATTGACGCAATCTGCATGTGCGGTACTTCAAATTCATCTATTCGGTCGCTCGATTGCTGGAGGTTCTGGATGATATCATCTCATCTCTCAATTGAGCGACGGATCTCCGAATCCAACGCCGTCTTTTCCGTTCTCGATGTCCAAGCCGCGCGCGGAAGTAGCTTATCCCGGCGGTATTTGAACTTCTCGCTTCGCCGCATAAGTGAGCCGCCTAGGGTGCCGCGAGAGGATTTCGGGAACATCTCTTGGAACATGTTCGGTGCTCCCCGCGAGCAGTTCGGCGAGATTGAAAACAAGCGAGAATAGCATCTTGTTTCGAGTCTCATTTATTTTTTCCATAGAAACAAGAAAAACTTGATAATTTGTGGGTACATCTTCACTATTTTCAGTCATTCATAGGACATGGTACAATGGTTTGCTCCGAGGGGCTTGGAAGGAATACTCAGGCCCAGTGGGCGAGCTGAGCTCTAGAATCCGCTGCAACACGAATTCGAATTGTTTTATAAAAATCTATGATGAGCGATATCCGTCCATGAATAATTTACAAATGCTCTCGTAGTCGTTGTGATGACTATAATTCGAGCCACCCTATCTATATAGCTAGCTTTCCGAGTCTGATCTCCACTTTTATCTACAAGATATGTACAATTCAGGATATGGTGTCCATGATAACGTCCCATTCAGAGTTCAGGGAGGAAGCAGGTGAAGATCCCTTGACGGAGATTCGGGACTCCCCTTCAGTCCCTGCCCTCATCGCTCTCTACATCAATCTCATCTTCTTCGTCATCGTTATCTTCTTCATCATCATTATCTTCTCCGCGAGTGTCCTCATCCTCCATCCGATTTCCAGGCTTGAGGTTCTCCGAGTTGCCTCCCGCGCTCACGGCTGCCATTGCCGTCGCTGCGGATGGAGCCATTTGTGCCAGCGCTCGCTGATACAACTCGAGAGGCAGCGAAGATGCGTTCGGAAGTGCCGCGGCCAACGAAGGCGGAAAAAGTCCCATGGGCGGTCCTGCCGTTGGCGAACCACCTCCTCCGTTTAGCAGCATTTGTCGAGCCGCGATTGGGAGGAAATCCAAGCCGAACATCGCTTGTCGCTTCCATTTCGTTCTGAGGAAGAATATCGAGAGTTCAAGGCTTCGCCCTATGGGAAGGGGGCTCCTCCGTGACCCAATAGGGAAGAGTGCATATACATATGACAGACATAGGAAGATCTCCAGCTTTTCAGAAATGTCTCACCTCCGGTTCTGGTACCAGGTCTTGACCTGCGTGTCGGTCAGGTCCAGCCGCGCCGCCAACTCCATTCGGTCCTGAACACTGAGGTATTTTTGTTTTTCAAAACTTTTCTCGAGCGTTTTCAGCTGGTGGTCCGTGAACGCCGTCCGTGCTTTGCGTGGTTTTTTGGAACCTTTCAGATTGCATTCAAAGTCGTTGTCGTTCTCATCTGTGTAGCGTTGGGAGAGGAAAAAAACGCTATTATTGGTAATGAGTGATTTCATTAGGGTGACGATCAGTCGAACGGCCGACGCACTGGTTGCTCGCTGCCACGGCTCCCTGAATGAGTGATGCCGGCCGGCAGCTGGAACAACGGCCCGACATTGTCAGCGGCAGAAGAAGTGCACCAGCAACACCAAAGTAATCTGAATCACAGCACCGTCGCAGACATTACTGCGGCTGCCGCAGCAGGAGCAGGAGCAGCGGCACCACCGAAACACTATCACCTATATCTGCCGCGTTAAGTTTTGTGCGCCTCAGAGTCGTGACTGGTTTTTGACTCACTCTGATGGCGCATCCGATTTGTGACTTGTGTTCTGTTCTATGATTCCGTTTCTGTCCGCTCTGGTGTTTCAGTCTCTCCGATTCAAAGACACCTTTCGTTAGAATAAACTTTGAGCCGTCGGACCCGACCACAATAGACCACAATAGAGAGCTCGAGCCAAACTTTGACGTTTGGCAGGAGGTCACGGAAAATGCGGCAGCGGCAACCCTATCGGGAAATTGCCCCGACTCATTCCTTTTGGATCGCGGCAGCGACCCACGATCGGCCGATGATCGACCGAGGGCAAGGTGCGAGTACGGCAGTGCCGCGGAGTAGGCGATCGTTTCAGTGGCGGATGAAGAAATGGGACCAATGAGCATCCGGGGGAAGAGAAGGTGCTCTTTATATTTCTCGTCAACCTGTTCGTGGACGGGGAGATGTGATTAGAATAGCTCTTGTTGCGGCTCTCTCGTCCAGCTGTTCGGTTTGCTGTTCGCTGGTTCGCTCGGCCATTCGTGCGTCGGATCGGTGGGGGAAACGAGACGCAATTATTTTGAAGGACATCGCGTGAGACGAAAATCGAAGTCTGTTTCGGATGGCAAAGTAAATATTTAGAAGACGCAACGCTAATGGACGTATGAACGATCGGCGAGCAAACCGAACTAAGCGAGAAAGAGATTGATGGCATTCGAGAAAAGAAAAACTCTTAATACTTGACGGTTTGAGACAGAAAAACGCCCAGCTGGAGATTCTGCCTCAAGGAAGGGAAGATGGTGTAATTTCGGTTTTTGGTCTATTCAGAATCGATGACGGATTGTCCCGATGATCAGAGGCGCACTCGGACTCCGGCATGGGATGGGATCGATGTGGATCGAAGCCCAGAAGAACTCAATTCGCTGACTAGTGTAGGCAATGCTCACAATCCTTTTCTAGAGTGTCCCGCCCATCGATATAGGATACCGCATAAGTAGGTTTGCTCACAGGCGAAACTACCGAGTATTCCCGAGTCATCTAAGAATTATCCAGGACTAAGAGTTCCCATTAGTCCACTCCGGCAAGCGCTGAGCCGCTCGTTGTCGAACGATGTAGAAGCGAACGTTCGCGCATGGATCCCGTAATGAGCTTTTGCACACAGCGTCGACAGAGGGATATAGTCACACATCCCAGAACTGGTACATAAAAAAAAAGAAAAAAAAGAAAGACCCATGAGACAACTGTCGAGAAGACTGGGCAATGACTGCTACACGAAAATCCCACGACTCGCTCGAACATCAAGTTGCGCCCAAAGGATCTTGGCAGCGGCCACGGCGTTGTCGTCTACAATCGGCCGTCCAGCCGAAACTTGTTGGTCGGCGACTAGGGGACAAGCAGAGAATACCGACAAAAGAAATCAAGAAACTCGACAGCCAAATTGTCTGATGGGGTGTTTAGCCAGTCGGTCGGTCGGTCAGTCTGCCATCCTATCCATCTATCCAGTCAAGCTGCTCGCCAAAGGGAGAAACATTTGTAGAGGATCACCCCATGTTCTCTGCCGAAGCCGTCACCGGGGTGAGCCCCTGCATTCTGACAGTGGCTGTGATCGTGAGCATCTGGTGAAGCAGAAATCTCAGTCACAGAAACGGGTGGATTGGAAAAAACGGGATAAAACGGCGATAACCCGTAAAAGTTCACGTGTTCGACACGTCCTGTGAGAGTCATCACCGATGATCATCTATACGGGGGTGCTCCTCCCAGAGCTTGAGCGTGTTCATCGAGATTTCACCTCGGAATAAGTCATTTAGACTCCACTCTCGCGACTCGCCCACAGCCTCGACGAGACTTTGGCGCTTCGCACTCGAAGCGACGCGATGCTTGAAAAGCTTGTTGTGGAACGGCGGAGCGCATTCCGCGGCGGGGAGCATGTGGGAGAAAGTCTCGATGGGAGCGAACGCGTTGAGAATTAGCTCTTTGTTGAATCACCTCAGAGCGAGCACTTCCAAGACGATGACTCAGACGGCCGGAACTTGGGCTGGCAATTAACAACCCCACTTCCGGTGAAGGGTTGGCTGTACGAGAATGTACTCTTCTCCCTTCGGCAAAAGACCGAAGGGAGAAGAGTTTCGCAAGCTTGTGGTTGCTCTCAATGGAGGGGCGACTGCAGTTGAAGGCACGATCGAGCGAATTGCTGTATCGATAAACGGAAGAGTAGTAAACAGGCTCTCGCGTTCTCGCCGCAGCGGAACTCTGCATCTAATCGGATCTCCACTCTCCATTCGTTCAGGCCCAGGATGACCGGAAAATCCTTAGAATATCTTTCTGATTTGACCACGAGAGCTCCCAGAATCTTATGGTATTGCGGACATAGCAACATACACAACGAGAAAGATCATGATAGGGAGTCGAGCGCAAGGAATCGTCGGCGTCAAACCAATTGCGGAAAAGTGGAATTCGATATCGCTATTTATCACTATTTGCTCGTTCGCTCTCTCCAAGGTTGATCCAATGCGGAAGATTGAGCTGTTCGACCCTGAAGAGAGCTGGACGGACAACAAAATCACGGGAACATTCAGCAATATATCCGTTTCCTATTAGCTTGTCTGAAATTCACGAATCTGGACCGAAAAATCAGCATCCATGGCCGATCGGGTTGCGCGTCGAAAAAACGACGATCAGGCTTCGCTCCCCGCTTCCGACGTAGCCTAGAGAGAAACCGGCAGAAGCACACTCCAAGCGACTTGGAAGCCCATCGAGTAAGTCTTGAAACTAAGAACGTCTCATGAATCTAGATAGGCACAAAGCGTATGGTGGAACTCTAGTTCAGCCCCAATGTTTCCGAGAATGACTTCTACGGGGACGGAACATGAGAAGGGGACAACTCGATGAAAGCAGTGGTCTTCGCCGAGTGCGCTCATGGGCTGGCTCAAGGTCTAAATATGGCTGACCGGAAGTAACTTATAGATGACTATTTCCTCTGCTTTTGTTGAAAGGGGAGGCTTCCGCTGGAGCAAATTGATACTAAACATCCCTCGGCCAGGAGTGGACAAGAAACCGAGGGACAGCTTTGATGACGCCAACATGGCCGACGAGCGGAAGTTGTGTTGAGAGCAAGCGGAAGTTGGTCGCAAGGAGCGGTTACCCCTCGACAGCGGCGGCGGCGTGGTCAAAGGAACAGGGAATCGACGATCGTTCTCTCGAAAAGCTATCGCCAAGTGACTCAGTTGTTATACTCGATGTCGGCGTCGTCGTCGGTCAGTCAGCCGGTCGTTCGTTGTTGATGTGACACAAGAAAAAAACAGCAGCGACTTTTCGCCGACCTCTATATCTCTCGGCCGATTTGGACTCCCTCGAGGAGTTTCGAACATTCAGGCCATCTTGGATGGCTTGCGATGCTTTTCACCGGATGATTCGTATCCACAACTCTTGTACCCGAATTGGTTTGAGCAATTGACCAAGGAAACCGACGCCGAGGTTCCTCTTCGACCCTCGAAAGCTATCGAGAGTGTGTCGTAGAGCCGAAACATGAGGTTTTTCCCAGAATATCGATATACAGTGCTCGACGCCAAAGACATGTCTCAGAGCTTCGGTGCGCCCTAGAAGGACGAGCACATGATCCATGGAAAACGAAGGAGTTCGAAATTGATTCGAGGGAAAATTTCCTCTCTCTTCCCCCTGCCCTTTCGGTACTCCTTCCACATTGGCGACGTCAGCCACTAGAGTCTTCAATATCGTCTCTAAATTACGGCTTGGAATATGAACGCTTGGATTAAGATCTGCCGAAGTAAATAGACTGTCTCGGTAAGTGAGGAGGCCAGCCCGCCGGCCGGCCGAAGAGACACGCTATCTTTTTACGGTTGAAACGAGTCCCATGAGCTGTTTTCCTTCCATTTATCCTCTCCCCACAACTTCGAGCAGCTTCGTCACACAACCACAGTTGAGACTACACACAGATTTTTTTCGTCTGATTGCGTACGGAAACCGTGTGCGCGAGAGGGTTGTCTGTGATGGCTGAGCACACGCCAAACTCTTGTAAGTCACTCATCAGACTTACCTATTCAGCATGAAGCGGACAGGAACGCAGCGCTGTGAGTCTGCCATTCAGTCGCTCATGGGGAAGTCGCCCGAACGGGGAGTACATTTCTTAATGTGGCTCTCATTCCTCTCCTCGACCAGGCTTCATCCGTTTATTCGCTCCACGACTACTTCTTGTTCCCAAGATGGAACAAGCAGTTGCACGACGACGGATTCATCAAGTTTCCGGAGCGTGGGAGATTTCAGCAGGGAGTCTCGGGTCTGTCGCCGTGCAAACTGCTGAATATTGTGTACTCCCCGTCTGACAATAAATTTGACGCACCTCGACCGCAATCATCGCCGATTCGAGCGATCTCGCCATTGGAATTCATTCCATGCGAGCAGTGATCTCCATTCCATATCATGAAGGGTCCCACCTCGCCCCACGATTGATTCAAGAACGAAAGGTGTACTTTTTGCGGTCGGTAAACGGTCGCGGGACGCGAGAACGACGGGAAGTTCGAGCCATCTTTCAAAACTCGCGGCAGAGGTGAAATCGATCACACATCTCGCACGGTCGGACGCCTGCGCGCTCACCGACTCACACAAAGAGCCAGCAGACTTTTGATAATAGCGTCAAAAGGCTGAATTTGGTGAAAATATATTCAACAGCGATGATCATCCGATGAATATAGAAT